AATGATGATAATATAATTTGAAATGAAAAAACAAAAACATTACCAACACAAATTCTTGATAATGAAATTTTTATTTTTTGTTTGCTTTCGATTTTTGGGATTCACACAAACACACACACAGAATGGCCCTTTTTTCTTCGGAATGTTATTTTTCTACGGTTTTCAATTTAATTTTGTTTGTTTATCATTGATTTAGGCATTTGAAATTGAATTGGAATTTGGAACATCAACACACACACATACAAACATCCAATACCAATACTTGTAATGAAAATCAATAAATTTATCATTAAAAACATTTTGTTTGATGAGAAAATTGAATGAATGAATATATAAAAAAAAATGCTAATAAAAAAAATATTGTGACAAAAATAAATTTCTCTATCTCTCGCAGAAAATAAAAATCTCATCAATATTATGAGATTATGAGGTAAATGAATGAGTGGGAAAAATATTTGCACTAAAGGTACGTTAAGTTTTTCTATTGAAATTGTGATAACATGTTCTTTTTTTTCATAGAAAAAAACGCACACACAAAACAATAGTGATAGTAAAGGATTCGCTTGAAACAAACCGAATTTATATTGAAAAAACCATGGACAGGATTTGATCGGAAAACGGAAAACGAAAAAAACAACAACAACAAACAACTTTTGTCGTTAATTGTATTTGTATTTGATTATAATCAATATCAAAAATGTGTACTGAAAAAAAATTTCAAACGGAAATTTGGCAAACCAACAAAACTCACCTAATTCATTTTTTTTCAGAAGAATATTAACAAATCAAAAATTGAATGAATAAAAGTTGTAAGTTGTATGTTTGCAAACAAACAAGAAAAACATTCAAAAGCAATGATGATTCCGTTGACAATGATTGGCGTCAATTATTTATTTGATATGACGAAAAAAACCAATTGAAAATTTTTCATTTTCTTCTTCTTCTTTGAAAATCAGAATTTTTTTGAATCAAAAATCATATGATGGCTATGATGATAATTAATGAAAATGATAAGAAATAAACTTTTGACGAAAGAAAAAGAATGAATGAAAAATATGGAAATTTTTTGATTTTTGATTTTTTAATTTTTAATTTTTTTTTGGAATTTTCAATGAGCATCATCATCATAGAATAATGAATAACATTTTTCTTTCATTTACTTTTTTCATTTTTCATTTTTTTTTTGTTGAATGGCACAAGTCACCAAATTATTTGGTAGAAAAAAAATGGGAGACATAATCATCAAATGATGATCATGATGGTAATTGCTTTTTCTTTCACTCTTATTTTCGAATAATTTTGTAATCAAAAGAAGAAAACTATAAAATTCATCGGAAAAAAAATATCAAAAAAAATTTCATGAATTTAAAATATCAAATCAAATTAGATGTGTGTGCGATGTGTGTTTGATAACCGACTTGTTTAAATTGATGATTCTATTGGAAAAGAAAATACAATTCATGAATAACACCGATGATAAATGATGAATGATGATGTAAAACACACAAACAAACACACACACACATTATTTACACAAACATTATTCACACACGCCTACACACACACAGGATAAAATTTCATATTATGGAAGATCTTTTCATGATTTCCATATCCCATATTAATCAGAAAATATTATCATTTCAAACAAACAAACAAACAAACAAACATAAATCTGATGATTATAAGTGGAATTTATGCAACAAAAAAGAAAGAAAAATTATCAATCATCATTATTATTATAATAATAATCATTAGTTGTCATAACTTTATAGTGTATGTTTTTTTTTGGATTAATTTGAAAATACATTGAATGATGTGTTAACTAAATAAACAAAACAAAAAGGAAAAAGATACACAAGAGACAAAAACAAAAAATGAAATAAGAATATCTTTGTTGTTTTTATCATTTCTGTTTTTTTTCACCGATACGATCCATTTTCGTTCCATGCTAAATAACAATTGTGAATGAAAATGAATCTACCGCCAAATGTGAACCAAGACAGAGACAGATCAAAAAAAGAAAAGTTTTTTTTCTTTTGGCGAACGATGATGCTGATTATCAAGATGATGATGATTATGGTGATGGAAATGTGTATGTGTAAGTGTGTTTCTGGTGTGTGTGTGTGTGTTTGTATGTGTTTGATTGTGTGTGTATATGGATGGAAGAACGTAAATGGTATTGAAAATTTTAACATTACCCAATTCCAAGTTCTAGCTACTACTTTCTTCATCATCGGATGAGAAGAATAAAAAAAAATCGCGCAACTCATAAAAACATTGTATATTTGAAAAAAAAATTTTGGACCCAAGAAAATATACAGCGATATACAGCGATCTTGTTTGGTTGGTTATTGTCGTCGGTTGTCGGCAACGAAATAGATCTTCGAAGAGTATCGTTACTGTTGTTAATATTGTTGTTGATGATGATGATGATGATGATGATGAGAATATTTTGTGTATAGACAGAAAAGTTGTATGAGAAGAATAAGAGAATTTCTACAACAACAAAAAATGATAGGGAGCTTGAGAGATTCAAACATTCTTTTGAATCGTTTTTTTCTGTTCTCTTCTGTTGAAGGGTATAAAACAACCGACCAAACAAACCAAACCAAAAAAACTGAATACAATCGAATGAGGAAAAATTTAGTAGAGGTTCCAATTCTATTGAATAATATGTGTGTGTGTGTGTATGTTTTTGATACCCCTGTCTCTGTGATATTCGCGCATTCATTCAATATTTTTAACCTATTTGTTTGTTCCATAATCCATAGTCATAGCCATTAGGGTTGGGGTATAGATGAGGGTGGATTTTAAGGATCATCATCATCATCTCAAACAACAACAATAACTATAACATCTTAGTCTGTTTACTATTTTTAAGATTCTTTTTTTTTAATTTTATCTATATGAAACAATAGTATTCATTCTAAAATTCTAGTAACAACAGTAATATTTTTTCATGCTGCTACTACACAAACAAACACACACAGACACATTCGGATATCAGTATCACCAAAGAAATTGAAGAAAAAAAAATTGAACCAAGAAAAAGAAAATCATTAACAAAATAAAATGCCAGACGTAAAGAAGAATCGTTTGGTTGTTATCATAGTTTTCATTTCATTCAATTTCTTATTCTCTAATCTATCAATGCTAATTGTTAATATTTTTTGAGAGGATGAGGTATTTAGATGAATATTTTTTTCATTCGTTCAATTTTCTAAATAACTAACAGGAGGAAAAGAGATGTATTCTAGAAGAAAAAATTTTCACACTTTTCCATAATGTTGATGCGTGCGTGTGGATGAAAAAAAAATTCACATACAGGCGCCAAAAAAAAGAATTCATTTGAAAAAAAATTGTACACCAAGATTATCATAAAAAAATCATTATTTATTACAAACACAAACACCAAGATAGAAAAAAATATTTTGGGAAAAAAAACGAAGAAGAATAAAACCACCATAGTCTCCATAGTTTATACCACTAATTATCATTGCAAATTCCATTGAAACCAGATTTGTGACATTGATCAAATTTTCCCGAAATTTTTACATTACCATAAAATTAAATGCACGAATATTCATAATCCACATCGACACTGGAAAAAAAATCCAAATTTTGCTTGAAAAAAGACAGTTTTTCTTTTTTTTTCTTTTTTGCGTGAGTGTTTCCTTCACATTTCAAGATTTTTTTTCTGTTTCTCTTGACTATCTATCTATTTTGTACGTGAAATCAACCCCTAAAGGATCCAATATTTATTACATCACATTTATCATTATCATCATAAACGTTAATATCAGAATGAATAAAACAATTCGACCAATTGAAACAATGTGAAGATAGGCAAAAAAAAATCATTCATTCATTCATTCATCCCATTCATTTCAATGTAACTTTTTTGTTTTGTTTTGTTTGAAATATACACAGACATAGAATTTTACAATGTAAGCTATTTGATGCACGCTATAACGAAATGACAATGATAATGATTGAAAATGTAGAAAAATTAATTCAGAAAGTTATACGTTAAAATACGTTTTTCCATTCAAAGATAGAGAATTAGGCCAAAATTTTAGACCAGAATTTTGAAACTAAATGTATATTTCAGCCAATCATAAAAAACTCTTTCATAAGAATTATCGTATTGAACAAAAAAAAATATATACGGAATCAGTAGAATCCTATATTACCAAAAAAAAAAAAAAAACTCACAATGTGATAATCATGAAAAAACATTGAATCCTGCTGTGTAGTATTTGTTATGTATAGAATTGTCTATAGAGCTGATTTGTTATGGCAATGACATTTTATGCTATGTAAAAACCATATATACTACACACGTATTATTGTGGATCATACACGATATCCTGTCGTTAGTCGAAACGAAATGAAAAATTTCTTTGAATTGTCGTCATATGAAATGAATGTTTGTGTGTGTGTGTTTTAAATTGATAATCATGCAAAAAAATTTTCAAAAAAGTGAACAAAAAAAAAAAGTTTTGAACTTTTTTTTTGTTCGTTTCGATTCGCTTTTCGCAAAATTTATTCCATATAAATATTATTTGATTAAATAGATATGTATGGTTCTTAAACTTTTTTTGTTTTTAGTTTTCCATAACACTTTCAATCGATAGGAAAAGATGAAAGAATCGAGATTCTGTGATTCTATTCTTTTTGTTTTTTGGATAAAGAAAACAATTCAATCGGCGATTCTTTGAATAATAAAACAAATCGATCATTCATTTGTAGATGAAATTTGAATTTTTGTTTCCCATCCAATTCAAATATGTAATTACGTAATAATAATTACGTTCTTTATTTCGATGATGACGTATAATTGAACATCCTCATTTTTTTGATGGTAAAATTTTTTCGCTTTAAATATTGTTATGTCAATACGATGAACGGGAAAAAAAATCTGAAAAAAAAGTTCGATGAACAAATCAGCTCGATAATAAAATCAACAACAAAAGATATATAAATCGTCATTTTAACATTGAAAGTCATCAAAGCTTGTTTCGAATCAATTAAGATCACAAATTTTCAACAAAAATGTTACCAAATTATTCTACCGATGATAATGTTCATCTATCTTCATCTTCGATTGATGATAATCTTGAATCATTTTCAATAACTGATTTCTACAAAGATAAAACAATTTTTATTACCGGTGTAACTGGATTTATTGGTAAAGTTTTGCTTGAAAAAATTTTAAGAAAATGTTCTTCGGTTCGAAAAATTTACCTGCTAATTCGACCAAATTCATCCGAATCATGTCATGAACGTTTGAATAAAATGTTAACAACATCGATTTTGTTCAAAAATCATCAAGACAAAATTGATCTGATCCAAGCCATTGATGGTGATATCACAGTCAAAGATCTTGGAATTTCTGAAAATGATCGTCAACGATTGATCGAAGAAGTAGATGTTGTTTTTCATTCAGCTGCTTCCATTCAATTCACTGGAGTTTTGGAAAAATTCATAAAGCAAAATATTCAGGGTACTGATTCATTGATGCGTTTATGTCAGAATATGAAACACGTACAATCAATTGTTTACGTATCTACAGCCTATGGAAATTGTCATTTGAATGAAATTAAAGAAAAAATCTATCCTGTTGTTAATGATCAAGATGTTGAAGTTTATCTTAAGCAATTAATCGAAAAATATTCCGATCATGATTTATGTGAAGGACATTCGGCACTACAAAAACGTCCAAATCCTTATACACTTTCTAAAGCGATTGCAGAATGGCTTATAAAAGAAAAATATCAATCAACTTTACCGATCATAGTATGTCGTCCTTCTATCGTACTTGGTTCGCATAAAGAACCATTTCCTGGATGGTGTGATGCAATTAGCGGTGTATCAGGCTCATTTCTATTGCTTGGTCTGGGAATTGGACAAAAATTTATTGTCGATAAAACAAAAAATCCGGATCTGATTCCAGTCGATTTAGTGGTTAATTCATTGATTGTTTGTGGAGCATATCGAGCGTCATCACATTATTCACCCGAAAGAAATGTTGTACACATTAATACTAGTACTTTGAATCCAATTTCTTGGGGAAAATTTTTCCAGCTATGTTTCAATTTTGAACGTCATATACCTTCGATCAAACAGGTTCGTCCAGTATCAATCGATTTTTCTAACAATTATTCAACAGTATTTGAAAAAATTTGCTATAAGTTTAATCAAATCTTTGATCATTTATTGTTTGCCGTAATATTTGATCTGATATGTATGATACTGGGACAAAAACCATTCATGTTGAAAATTATTCAAGTTTTTCATAAAACAATGTTTGAGCTCAAATTCTTTTCACTACGACAATGGAATTTTGAACATGAAAATATGCCATTCATCTATAAATTGGTGAATGAAAAAGAACGACCATCATTCAATTGTGATGTAACTAAAATTGAATGGGAAGATTTCTGTTTCGGAATGTGTAAAGGATTACGTAGATATCTGCTCAAAGATCCAGATACAACTTATGAACAGGCTAGACGACGACAAAATCGAATCTATCTTGGTTTCCGTTTGTTTGCTGTATTTAAATATTTCGTATTTTATTTTTTGTGTAAAAAATATTTACTTCAAACAATTTTGGGAATTACATTATATAGTCTACCATTATCAATTATCGATCTCGTTATCTATTCGTATTTGATTCGTTCTGTATTTGTTGCATTTATATCGTTTAACAAATCAAAATCATTCGAATATTAATTTAGTTATTAAATTAATTGATTAACATTTTTTTATAATGAATTTTTTTCATCAATAATTATCATTATTATTAATAATTAATTTTTCATCAATAAAATCTCTTTTAATTGAATACGGGTTAAATTTCATTTTTTTTTTAAATCATAAATATCTAATGGCGCCATCAAATGGAAAAATTCTTGATCAGCTAAAATACAAAAACTTGATCCATTTTTTTTTTGGATAGATGGCTCTCTATGTTACCGAAGTTTTTATTTTTTTAACTCATTTTTAGAATTTAATTCATTATTAGGTCTTTTTTTAAAGAATTTTTTTTTCAATTTAATTTTTGTTTGTTTCAAATAGATTTTTAGAATCGTCGATAGCTGCTTTTTAGAAAAATGTCTGTCAATTATGCTAGTGGACTTTCCGAATATAAAAATAAAGGAACCTGTGGTACCAAAGAGGTAATAAAATAAACAAAATGATTTAGTGTTTTTAATTAAAAATAAACCCAATATAGTTGATCGACAGCGATAAAAAATTGGCTCGAAATATTAAAATCTTAGCCGAATGGATTCGTAAATCAAAACATTGTGTAATATATTGTGGTGCTGGAATTAGTACGGCTGCTGGTATTCCCGATTTTCGGTATGTGTGACACATGTTTATACCGATCGATTTAATCGAATTACGATTGTTATAAAGTGGACCGAATGGTGTGTGGACATTGGAAAAACGTGGCCAAAAACCGGATGAATCAAAAATGAAATCGTTCGATCAATGTATTCCAACATTTACACATCTTGCTATTATTACAATGATCAACAAAGGCTTGGTAAAACATGTTGTCAGCCAAAATATCGATGGATTATTTTTAAAAGCTAATATTGATCGTGAAAATCTATCCGAATTACATGGAAACTATTTCGTTGATGAATGTATCGATTGTCATAGTCGTTTTATTCGCCATCGTCCAAGTCCGACAATGGGCTGTAAATTTACTGGTGATAAATGTGCTAAATGCGATGGCCCAATACATGATACAATTTTGGATTGGGAACAAGAACTCCCTGATAATGAATTCGATCGTGCACAAATCGAATCTGAAAAATGTGATCTGGCTATATGTTTAGGCACATCATTACAAATTGAACCAGCCAATTTATTGCCTTTAGAAGTGCTTAAAAAATCCGATAATCAACATGAAAACACTGATGATCACTTGAATAAATTGGTCATTATTAATCTTCAACGAACAAAATTCGATCGTCATGCTGATCTTATCATACATCATTATGTTGATAAAGTAATGGAATTAATTTGCCAACATTTAATGATTCAAATTTCTCCATATGAATCAGCATTAGATCCAACAAAATCTGGTCATGATCTCATACCATGGAATCGTAATGATTTCAGACCAACAATAAAATCTAGGAAAGAATCATTGTAAATATTTTTATTTAAATAAAATCAAAATTCATCAATTTCTATATTCAATGAGATAACAATTTAAAAAAATGGAAGTCAAAAAAAATTGTCGATAAAGAGAAAAAATGTACAGAAAAAATACATCAATAACAATGAAAAGGCAGTTAAGATAACAAGGATCCATTATTTCGATAATGGTCCATTCATATTAGTTGTTTCATGATTTAGTTGATAAATTTTTGTGATGACAATATCACCGGTCGATAATGTTTGCGTACCAATATCACATTTTGGCAACGATGTTGATTGTGGCGATGCTGATTGCTGTGGTTCCAACGATAATATTGGTGATAATGATGCTTGCTGTCCATTCATTTTGATAGCATTCGATGATAATGATTTTCCATGACAATGACAATGGCAACATTGTTGTGATTCAAGTCCGATACCGGACGAATTGAATTCGCCAGAATGATCATATTCTCGACTGGATGGTGATAAACTGGATGTTTGTTTTTCCGAATAATAATAATCATCCATAAGAACACGGCTTTCTGTATCCATATAGCATTCGACATCTGAATCACCTACTTCGGAATCATCACCACCACTACTTTCGGCTTTATTATTTTCACCATTATTCATGCCATTCTGTTTGCGATTTTCAAAGCGTTTCAATTTCTTTGCTACATTCATTGGACCTTCGATTTTATTGCGAATTTCTTCAGTCATATCAATATATCTAAAAAAAGAAAAAAAAATTATTCAAGTTTATTTTAATTATTTATCAAACTAACCTTAAAAGTCGTATTTCACGATTACTCAAAACAATCTTTTTCTTATCATTATTAAACAATTTCAATTTCAAATCAGTCAATTCTAATTCAAATTTTCGTTGACGTTTCAATTGTTTGATTTCATCAACATTTATATAAGCAAATATTGATTCATAAACTAGTTGTTTGAAAAGTGGTTCATATTCTGTACGAATCTGGCCACGTATATTTTCATAAACGGTTGGATATAGTGCATAAACTTCGGTCACAGCAAACTGTATCATTTCATCGGTTAATGGACGATTTTTCCAATATTTATAATCTTTTCTATAGATTTTATGTAGTCGATCTTTTTGTTTAGGATTTAAATTTAATCCACCATAAACATTGGATAAAGTATAGAATGAAATATATTTGGTTGGTTTATATGCCGGTCGTCCAGTGGATTGTTGTTGTAATATTAGATGTGCTACCTGAGTATCGAAAACATTTTTCAAAGTAATGCCAAAACATCGGTAAAGTGAAGCAGAATTTGTGCGAACATCATGGCCAATTTTTACAATATCTTCAGATTCCAACAATTTTTTAAGGCCACTTTGTATCAAGGTTGGATTGAGAAAAACGTCGAACAAAACAATTTGAATGCCACTATTATTAGATTTATTGATAGTTTTTTTATATGATATTTGTATCAATGTAACTTCACCGTTCGTTCCTAGATTGATACCTTCAACATCAATTCCAATAGCAGGACAATTTTCACCGATGGTATTAGAAGAAAAAATTTCATCGACAATCATTTCACAGTCTTTATTTTTAACGACAATTCTTGGTTTGATTAATTGCAAATCTATGCTATCATATTGATTTGAATCATTTTGATTATCTAATGATAATGGTTCTTCGTTGTTATTTGGAAAATGGCGATAATTTTGATGATCGTTGAATGATGATGATGATGATGAAGAGGGATTATGGCATCCTTGTGAGACAATTTTAATGATTTGAGATCTAATCCGTTGATTAACAACTGATTGTTGTGATGAGCATGATGTTCTCGCCATTCGACCGTTGGAAGACGATGGTGATGGTGCATGGTGTTGCTGTACTTTTCGGACAGGCAATTGTTGCTGTTGAATTTGTGATTGACTAGAATATAAATTTGATTCAAGTTTTATCTGTTGTTTTTTATCACGTAAAACGGTTAACCGTTCATTAGTCAATGAGACCATTTGACCTTGTACAAGAAATATCCGGGAATTCATATGTAAAAATGTTATTAAATCAGTTGGCACTTTTATAAAATCATTCCATAAAGCCGGTAGTTGCTCCTTGGATTGCATAGAATTATATAATAGATCGATAGAAATTTTATTTGAATAAGTTTCAGTAAGACTATAGACTTTATCTTCAAGGTCTTGTACTAATTGTTGCATCAAATATGGATCATGTTGAATTTCTTCGGGCATTCGTCTTAATCGATCATTATGTCCATCTTGTTCTAACTGATCAAGTACAGACTTAAGAACAACATAATCATCTCGAACAACAAAAATCAATGGATATGTTTCTAGAAATTCTCTAAATTCTTTAACATTTTGGCCTGAAACATGTCGAATTTCGGATGAAGCTTGAGACCGATGACCAAATAAACTTTTCAATGGTACTTCAGCAACGCCATATGAATTAAGTTTATCCGTAAAAAATTCAATTGTTTCTTTTGTATAATCACGAACTGCAGAACCATTATGATCGCTAATCAATGGTGTGAGTAGAACCTATTGTAGAATTTAAACAAGGATAAGATTATCAAAATATTATTATTTTCAAAAAAATCAACTCACAGTTTCACCATCGATAGTGAATAAAGAAGGAAATTTTAGTAGAAATTTTTTCAAACCAGCTTGACTACCGCCAGCAATTTGTCGCATTTCTTTCGTAAAACCTTTAGCTCCAAATTGACAAGACAAATCATGTAAGGTACGTGATTGACCTTTACCGATTAAATGATCCAGAAAAAACATCAATGTTTGATCACGTATAACATCAAAATCTGCCATAATGGCTATATATAATTTTGAAATATTATGATTCAAAGAAAAAAAATAAAAAAAAGAAAATATAGTCAAAATTTTTGACAATGGCACTTTTTTTCCAAACAAAGTTGAAAGTGACTATATTTTTAAAGCTGATGAAACAAGATGCAAACAGTACGACCGGCAAATAAATAATTGTTTTGGAAGTCTTGGATTTGTTGTTTGACCATCATGTTCAACGGAAAAAATTGTAGAAACAAAAAAAATATTCACTTTTATCACATTCACAAACAAACAAACAAACAAGTTTGTTTTGATGACAACGATTTGTTTGGATTCATGAAAAAAAAAACTGTAAAAAATTTAACAGGAAACAATGCTTTTCAATCACAAACAAACATTATTGCAAACATGTCTGTTCTCGTTATGATGTGTCAAATAAACAAATAAAAATTGGTTCATCACTAATGTTTTACTTGGACATTTGTAAAGAAAATTTACAAACTAACTATTCCAATTGGAAAATAATGGGCAAGTAAAAAAAATTAATTAATCAAACAGCGAACCTGAAACAAACGCACTCGTAATATATGAGAAAAAAAGAGAAGTACCAAGGATGATGATCATCAACAATGTGAAAATTTATGGCGGTGTCAATTTTGTGATCGTGGTGGTGGTGGTTGACAACAATGACGATATTATTATTATACAGAATATATCTTCATCATGATCACAATAATCATCATCATCATCATCATCGATGTGAACATTTTATTTCGATGTGTGAGTTTGGACGAATGAATGGAGAAAAAAAATGCCAACAAGATGTACGTGTGTTTGTTTTCAAATGTAATAACAGGATTTTTTTTTTAGTTTTTAAAATTATGATGACGACAACTCCTCAATTATGGCTATAAGCCAACCAAGCCAAAATGAAGAAGATGAATTTGTTCAATGTAGTTAAATTCAATATTTTCATATACATTTCAATGAAACAAAATTCAATTTTGTTTTCCAATGTTGGCGGTTCAATGATATATAACATACATGTTTATTTAATAAATGGTAGAATTTTAACGGTGAATGAATTTGAAATAAAAAAAGGCACAAATAGTGCAAATGTTTTTAAAAAATGCGTTGGACGCATTGATATTTTGTAATCAAGGTTGTCATATCATCAATACTGCATTGCTGAAATTTGGTCTTCATTCATAAACATTTATAGGTCAAGATAAAGTGAATGATCTTGGATTTTACTTTCAGCCAATTTAGTTTGAAGTACAATGAACAATAACAATAAGATAATCTTAATTCAGGGTATTTAAACATGAAACCATTAACAATAGTTGATTCGGTAATGAGATGAAGTTAATCTATAGTATTTGCTTTTCAGTGATAACAAATTTCACGATAAATAATATTAATAACATTGATTTGAACAATGAAAAAAAAACGGTTGGGTAGCCGTCATCGTCTTCGTCATCATCTTAGTCGCCGAAAGGCCATGAACTTGTTGCTTTAAAGATTCAACTTGGACTTTCTTGTTTTAGCATCTTCCAAAAGCAGAGCAAAGCAAAGTCTGAAGTGGAAGCAAATATTTTCTGTTTTTTTTTTGAGCAAGCAATAACTTTATACGAAAAACACAGACAGGTAGCTCAGTTACGAAAGAGAGAGATTGTGTGCGAACTATAACTTGATATTATCGACAGATGAAGAAGAGAACGGTAGAATGAATGAATGGAAAAAATGTTCTCTTTACAAATACAGCGATGTTTGAGATGACTATGACAACTATTTTTTCAAAGGAAATTATAAAAAAAAATTTGATATGAGAATGAGGAAAGATAAAAACATTGATTATATGGCAAAATGTTTCTTCTTACATACGAACAATCATCTGAAAATATGTGCTTATCGATACATTTGTATTCTATTTGAGGCAGTTTTTTTTCTGGAGTATTTTTCTCAAAAACTATTTGAATGAATTTTAAATTGAATTTTTTTAGCTATAAGGCAGATAGAGTGATGAAAGAGTTGTATATTTCAGGTTTTTTCAGGTTCTCAGTCGTCATCGATAATGTTCAATGATTAAAGTCGATGTAAAAGTAAAAAATTTACTGTGACAAATTTGGACATTCGAAACTTTGATGATAAAGCTGATTGAGCCAAAAATTAAAATCATTTTTTTGTTGTTACATTTTTGATCGTAGACAATCTTAATAATCAAAATGAATGAACATGCTGTGTTTCTTTAGTATCATAGTAAAAATTATCTATCAACCAATGTTAATGTTGTTTGTTGTTGACGATAATGAGGAACATTGTATGCGCCAGTCTGATAAATGATACTTGCTTTTAAGCTAAAGATTGATCCATCCATTTCAGTATCTGTAATATAATGTAGATTAACAAATTTATAAAATGAATTATCATCGATGTAACAGTAGAGTGATATTGGTTAAAGTGATAATAAAATAGTCGATTTTGGAAAAAAATGATCATCGTCATCACGGTAAAAAAAAAAACAACAACATAGCCTGACAGTCGGCGAGAAAGAGTAAAAAAATTATTCCCTTTTTGCGGCAATTAACAGCAAAATATTGACGATTTGACAAACAAAAAGTAGAATTATGTGATCTAATATGGAATGACGAGGAACAATTATGATTATGATTCGACGGTGTCAACGGCATCACAAAATCATCAAAAAACATTCGAATGTTTTTTGATTTCCGAATTCAAACTCAGCTGGAATATATTCGTTCCAAAAAAGTTCGTCGGTTCTGTCATTTATGAACAAAGTTTAATTTTGTCAATTCGAAATTCGAATGTTCTGGCCATGTTCGATATGATGATGACAAGGTAAAATTGAAAATTGAAAAATAAAAGTATTTTTTGTTGTTTTTTGTTTTATTTAAATGATTAATTTTTAACATTCCACATTTACATGATTATCCATTTATTCATTTTTTTTGTTGTTATATCACATAAAAAAATTATAGTAAAATATTCATGAATTTCAAAAAAGTAAGTATTTATCATCATCAGGTTAATCGTTTTTTGAATATTGCAAACATTCCGCAATAATCAAAAAACGATTATTATAATCAAAATTATTATGTTGATGAATTATAAAATAATAAATTATATTAGTTTGAATTCAAAAATCAAAGAACTGATTCATGACTTGTTGATGCCGTATGATTTGTAGTTCGAATTGTTGAACGTGTAGCTGGCGGTGGTGGAGGTGGTGGCGGCGGCTGTGGCATATGATAATTATTACGATTATTTGATTGTTGATGATGATGATGATGATTATCACCAGATGATGATGTTCTTTGATGATGATATTCATGAAATATATGAATCTCTTCCGGATGTGTTAGATAACTAAAACCGTTTGGTGGTACTTTTTTTGGATGATGATGATGATGATGATGATGATTCGATGATTTAGTTATATGATTAACCAAAGGAAGTCCAACAGTATTGATATCGCCTTTTTGTTGTTTTGGCGTTGATTGATGTATAGAATTCGATGATGAGGAAGAAGATGATGGTGAATTTGTTTCAGAAAGTTCAGTAAATGTTGCCGATTGTTTTTCCACAGTTTTCGATGGAACAACAGGAACATATTTTATTTGAACTGGTGGTGGTTGTTGTTGTTGTTGTTGTTGCTGATGTTGTTGATTAGTTTGGATTGGATGATGAACAAAATCTGAACAAGATCCATGCATCGTATGTGATTGTGATGGCTGTTGTTGATTTGAATTGTTCAGATGATTAGTTACATGCCTTACATTAGATTGTTGTTGTTGTTGTTGTTGTTGATTATCCTGTGCAGAACGATAAATTGGTGTTTGATGATTAATCTGATATTGTGTCGGTGGATTTACATTAATCGATGTTGTTGGAGATGATATTAAACGTTCTTCTTCATATAAATCATGTGTTGCTTTTAATGGTGTACGTGTATTCCTAACAATGCCTTGTGATCGATCATTTACAAATGAATTCTGCTGCTGCTGCTGCTGATGATGATGATTATTATTATTATTTATATTATTTCGATGAATCGGTTGTGGTGATATTTGTTGTTGATTACGAAAATGATCTTCAATTCTACCATGACTAAAACAGGCAAATAATGTAAATACAATAGCAATTGTAATGAATGCAATACCCGATGATGATAGTATAATTGCAACAATTACTGGCCAATAATTATTATTATAATCATGTAGATTATGAAAAAACATATTATTTACATAGGTATGTGGTCCAGTTGATGATAAAATATAAACAACTAAACCAGAAACCAGTACAATAACACCTACACACATAAGTGTTGCACCAATACTACAATACATAAATCTTGTACGATATTCATCACCCGGATCAATATCGATTATTTGTTGATCATTTTTACCACGTTCTTTGTTAGCCATTTTGTTTAAAAAAATGATGATGATGATGATTGTGAATAATTGATGATCGAAACAAACAGAAATCAATTATTTTTCAATCAATCGTCGTTGATTTTCTTTTGTTGTTGTTATTGATGCACAAATTGAAAAGTAAAGGAAAAAAAAATATTTGAAAAGAAACACCATACCGTTTTGTTTCATTTATATTACATGAATGAAAATGTCAAACTATCAATTTTGTTGATAAACAAAAAAAAAATAATCATTTTGTTCGTTTGTTCATTGAATAGAATCGATTTCAACAATGAAAACATGATGATGCTATTGATGATGATCATCATCATCATCAAACGACAAAGATGAAATGAAAATCTAAATCAATGTTTTCTATACAAATATACATCATATATATTGATAAACAACGTAGGTAATACATTTTTATATATTCAGAATGATGACTATACAGGATTCATCATTATTTTGAATGACTATAACTTTATGTTTATTGTTGTAAACAAACAAAATTGTAACTGTTGTTACTAATAAAATTTTTTTTTTTTTTGAATAAAAACCGAATCTGTAGGCATCTTGTATGTTTATTGTTGTTGTTGTTATATGTAGCGCCTATTACTTAAAATGATGATGATGATGATTGAATTCAACAATTGATGTTGATGATACAAACATTATAAATGGGTGGTTGATCGTTTCCAAAAAGTTTATTACATACACAAACAAACAAATAAGCTTACACACACACACTTTTCTGGGCCACAATGTAATTTTTTTCTTTCTTTTCCTTTTTACTACAAAACTATATTTAGCTTGGTGAAAAAAAATCCTTATAATAATAATAATAATAATGATGTTGATTTGAATAAAAATCAAAGACAAGTAGTTGAAAAGTAGTTGTTTGTAATATCTTTGTAATTGAAATGTGTTGTTGTTGTTGTTGTTGTTGGAATTCTGTTTGAACAAGTTTTTTGGGCTGACTAATTTTTCGATTCTTCAATAGTTCAGGATACAAGTCAAACAAAGTCAAGTCAGTCAGTCATTTTTTAGTCAATGACCCAACAGATTCATTATTATAAAATCAATAATTACTATTCAAGTATAGAATATTTTTAAAGAAAAAATTTACATAGTCATCATTGTTTGACCGAATTATTATTTATTGTTGTTATCTATGGATCACTCTTGATGATTTATTTAGTGAAACATAGTTGTGACGAACATTTTGATTTCATTCTCATATAGATTTTGTTTCGATTTTTATTTTCAAATCAAATATAGAGCAATGAACGAAGCGAAAAAATAAAATAATGAATGTAATTGCCACAGATGTTATAAATCGGGAAAAAGAAGAAGAATAAAAGAATGATTAATGATGATGATGATGATGATGATGGTTGGTGGATGATACTTGATGGTAAATTTTTTTGTTTTACTGTAATGATTTGCTTTCATGCATTAAAGGTTGTACATATAAAAATTACAAAAGAAAATTGAATTAATTTTTTTTTCCACTTGATAAAAATGAATCGATTTTTCATTTTTTCTTGAAACTTTAATGTTTTTTTTTTTTTGAATTCCACAAATGTTTGTATTGTTTTTAAATCAAATGTATTCAAATAAGATGCAATACCAGACAGAAAAAAAATTGTGAGCAACAGTATTATTGTCTGGTAAATTTTATCCATTCATTTCAAAAAAAAAGTTACAATTGCCGAAATTGAATACCTTTTGAATAGCTTTTGAATAAAGTAGAAAATAATATTTCATATTGAAGGACATATATCAACAATGAGAGAGAGAGAAAGTATGCATGGTAATTTCTTCAATCAACAATGGATTAGGTAATTATGAATAGAGTAACCAAAAAAAAAATTTTTAGCGGGTAAATATTTTTTAAAAATAAAGAAACTTACAAACTTATTCATAAAATTTGTAACTGAATGGAAAATGTTTTTTTTTGTTTTGTTTTGTGATCACTTTTCATTGCAGCTCGATAAGTTGCCAACATATCGAAAGTGATATTGATTTTTTTTTTGTAAGTAATACTGATTATTTTCCTGGTTTTTTTTTAATTATTCGGTACATTTCATTTGATTTATTTCATATCTATAGTGTTTATGTCGATTCGGATCGATTTATTGTGAATTTATTTTCCCGAATATGATGGCCGTCCAGCAAAATGCACGTTTACTTTTATTGTCCAATTCAACAATGGCCATGCAGCCATATCTTCAATGGCCTAAAAATCTAATCAAAGATTTTCTTAACGTTTCAAATGTAAAAGAAATTTTATTCATTCCATTTGCCGGTGTTAAAATTGAATGGGATGATTATTCGAATAAAGTTAAACAAGCATTGGAAGATGATTTTAAAGTAAAACCAATACATCATTGTACCAATTATGAAGAAGCCGTACAAAATGCAGAAGCTATTATGATAGGTGGTGGTAATACTTTTCATTTGTTATATAAACTTTATGAATACAATCTTTTGGAATTGATTCGAAAACGGATATTGGATCCAATCAAACCGATTCCATATATTGGATGGTCAGCCGGATCAAATGTTGCTGGACCAGATATTGGTACGACAAATGATATGCCAATCATATGGCCACCAAGTGATCGTGCTTTAAATCTAATTCCATATAATCTAAATCCACATTATAACGAATGGCAACCTCCAAATTTAAAAGGTGAAACTCGTATGGATCGATTAAATGAATGCGTTTTGATAAAAAAACGTCCAATTGTTGCTTATTCTGAAGGTGTTGCTATTCGAATCGAACATGGCCAACATCGAATTATTGCACCAAAATTCGATGACCTCAACTGTTTTTTCGAAAACAAAGACAATCGAACAGTTAAAGTATGGACATTTGAGAATGACAAAATTCAAATCAATGAAATTCCACTTGATGATTCGGCAACACTAAATGCTTATGTTAAATGAAAATTAAAATAAATCATGATCATAAAATGATAATTTTATTAAATCCTTTTGCCTTGACAATTTTACAATGATGATATCAATGAAAAAAAAATGGTCTATATGTATGTTTTTCATCGTATAGTTTCAATACACTATGAAAATAATTATATGAGAATTTTAATATGTAAATGAAAATTAGTGTAGCTGTCGTTATATTTAATGAAAATATGTTAATGTTAAAAATCGGTTATTTACGAGGTATATTACTACGTTCACCACGACATTGTGGACAATACCATTTTCCTTTAGGTTTGGTTGTTAAATTTACACATACAAAATGAAACCATTCTATTGAACATTGTGCATTGTCACAGCAGATCATTTCTCCATATGAAACTTGTTCACATAAACAATATGTCGGTTCATTAGGATCATATGCATCGTCATTCAATTGTGAATCATCATTATGATATGATGCATTTGAAGAATTTGCTGCTGCAGCCGCTGATGATGATGATTTGCCACGTTTTTCCGTTTTGTTATTACTGCTAGTTTTAATACCACGTTTATTGTTACCACCACGTTTCTGACCGGATTGTTGATTAGTACCACGATCCTGATTACTTGCTACAGGTGTCGATGAACGATCATCGCCGCTACCATAATCATTATTATGATTATTATGTTTACTTGATCCACGTCGCATTCGTTTATTTGTCCCATTTGATGATTGATGATGATCCTTTTCTTTTGAATGAAATGCGGGCGAATTACGACCATTCGATTGATTTTCATGGTGTCGAGAAGTTTGATGATTGGAGTTTTTGCTATTTGAATTAGAATAGCTCGAACCAGCTAAACCGTTTGCCTGATTCGATTGATTGGACAATGTATTGGCTAGTCGATAGCTAGCATCTAATTGTCGACTTTTCAAATCAATTTGTTCGAGCATTGATCGCACAACATCTAATTTGGTATCGGATTCTTTTTCCAATGCAAGAAGAACAATTTCGATTTTGTTTAAAATTTTAATTTTCTCTTCATTGCTCCATTCATTTTGCTATTGGCACGAAAATTCATTAATATACAAAAAAAAATAATACTAATAAATTCTTACCTTTTTAAGATATTTATCTTTATAATAGTCCATCAATTTCGTATACTTTGTTCGTTCAACATCAATCATATGTATCTCAGATATTAATCGAGCCATATCGTTGGGAAAATTTTCGGTCAAATCGACATAGTTTTGTAAATACATAAATACAGCACTTTCAGCTGTCAATTCAGCATTGGCCATTGTCTTGATTCTTAGGAATTATTGAAGTTTATGATTTTCCATACAATTATTTAAGCATGTCAAGTCGACTAAACAAATGTTTCAAAATAATTGATTATAATTATTTTGAAGTGAAATTGATTTTAAAAATTAACAATCGTAAAATCGAATCGAGCAGTCAAAGATCTCTTGTGGTGTCAGCTTTTTCAACAGCAACAGCAATCATAACATATGAAACTTGTATGAGTTAAAATAGGATCCGTTTGCATTGACTTCAGTTTCATTGTGAAAAATTCTCTTTTCGATTTTACACTAATAATCATTGATTTTCAGAGTTTTAAATGAAAATGAAAAAAAATCTCTTGAAACATTGTTTTCAAATAGAATTGATTATAACGCTGGCAAAAATTTTTCCCTTAAAAAACAATGATCAAATTAAATAAGATTCAACATAAAATTTTTTTTAATCACTATACAAAAATTTATATTTAATTAATTTTGCATCATATAAAAATTATTTAAATTACAGTAAGTTGTACAAATAGCAACCACCGATAAGATTTCGATTATAAGGTGCAAATCAGTGAATACAACAATGATAGAAATTATTAAGCGATTGGAAAATTTTACACTCTACCATGGCCGATTAATAATAAGCGTTGAAAACAATAAATGTCTGAAAATACAAGGAAGTGGGGTTCAGGTAAGTAATTTGGAATTTAATTTAAAATTCCAAGAAATTTTAATTTTGTTTATCATATAGAAATTTGAAATGTTTATGAGGATTGGTGAAGTTTTTTTCGAATGGCGGAATAAATTTGATGAAACGGTAAATGAAGCATTATTACTCTATGATTCAATGGTGAAGTTTTGCCGAATGGCCATGAAAATAAGTTTTCAAGAAAAACATCTAATTGAAATGGACGTGCTGAGTGAAAAAATAATTGATACTTTTGTTCGTATAAATCAAGAGGAAATGATGAAACAATATAAATTTAATGTGACATATAAGCTCCACAAATTATTGCACTACAGTAACAATGTTCGACGATACGGCCCATTGTATCTTTCGTCGGCGATGAGATACGAGCGGTGCCACCAAATTTTGAAAAAGTATGGCAACGTCATGGGCTGCAAGTCAATCATAATTTTTCCCTTAAAAAACAATGATCAAATTAAATAAGATTCAACATAAAATTTTTTTTAATCACTATACAAAAATTTATATTTAATTAATTTTACATCATATAAAAATTATTTAAATTACAGTAAGTTGTACAAATAGCAACCACCGATAAGATTTCAATTATCTTCATTGGTTAAAAATTATAATGATTATAATTATTTTACTAATTTGCTGGAGATGAATGATATTTCAGAACCGCCGTCAAAGATAATACGAGTAGTGGTGATTTTTCTGAAGCATTCCTCAATGTTTGCCAAAGTTAGACATTCTTGTTCGTTTGATGAAAGGCACGTCTTCTATGCTCTATATCAATTCTTGATAAGATGTGGCTAAGAATTGTCCGGGCATCGCCCTCGTTTAACTTGGTGGATCTGACATTTATCATCAAGTCGTAATATCTTGCATATAAACTTGGTCTTGCGTCTAAACGAAGATACTGTAAAGCATGGATTTTGTTATCAATTCTTTGATAATAATTGCTGGTGATCCATAGTATTTCTCCAAGGTGTTAAATCTTGGCTTTCAACAGTTAAACCACGCTCTGCTAACAATTGTTAGATAACTAGAGCAACAATGTTCTAACAAGTTTTGCGTTCATCTTATTCGTAACGATGATTTCAATTGGTAATTAACAACCAAATGAATCTCTGACAAATCGCAATCTTAGAAGATGGAATTTCGTCATTTGATGATTCGACGATGAATTTTATCGCTGACATTACGATTGACTTATTGAACACTTGTTCAGCGACAAATGTTCCTGTTTTCACCTTTCGGGAATAGACTCCCATACTGTTTTCGACAATGAATGTCGATGATTCTTTCAACGCTCCAAACAAACGAACAATAGTTGGAAGATGCAAAATAAAATGCATTGATTGAAGTACATTTTCTGATGTTTAAATTTTCGTAATCCATAGTCTTCCAGTTTGGACAAAAAACTTTTGTACGAATAAAAATTGTTTATTTTATTAAAGTCATCGAAATTGATTATTGAAAATCGAAAATCATTGTGATAAAAAAAAATGTTGTGTGCTCGATGAAATACAAAGATAATGTGTGCGTGTTTCGCAAAAAATAATTGTGTCGATTTTCCGAGAAATCGGAAATGTTTTATGATTAACTTGCCATGTTGTTTATGAACGGCTTTGAGCACGTGAGAAAAACAAATTAACTGTTCATTCAATGACGTGTTGAAATTCTGATATTTTTTTTTTGCTGAGCTATTAAATATCATTTGAATAGAATAGTTTTGTTCGAAAAGTTCATGGTTTATTTTAGTTATATCTGAAATTTTGAATACATCATATTCGTAAAAAGGTATTTTTTTATTTTATTTTATTAATTAAAATTAATTTAAAATTGATTTTTTCTAAATCGTTAAAGATGTCTGGAACAAATGTCAACGAACCGCAATTTGTTTCTGTGGGTAGCCCATTGGGTCCTGTTGTAAATGATGGCGATCCATCATCATCAAAAACAGCAGCATCATCATCAACAACAACTGGATTCATGAACAATTCAAATTCACTTGGTATGGAACCATTGGGTGAATTAGATGGTGCCATCAATAATCTAGCGATGAGTGCCAAATATAATCTTACACAAATGAGTTTCAAACAATTATTATCGGATCGTTGGTCAAAATTACAAAGCTGGGGATCATTTATCGATACTAGTCGTATGATGTTACCGATATCCATTCAACAATGGTCAAAACGTCTAGTATCAAATTTTAAACATTTTCAAAGCAATTATTTGTTTGTTTTCATCATTCTTTGCATATATTGTATTTTGACATCACCTTTATTATTACTTGTGATATCTGCAATCGCAGCTGCAGGTTATATATTAACATTGAAAAATGCTGAACGTCCATTGAAATTATTTGGAAAGAAATTGAATCTTGGCCAACAATATCTTGCACTTTGTATTTGTTCATTACCGTTGCTGTATTTGGTCGGTGCTGGTGCTGTAGTATTTTGGGTGATTGGTGCTTCATTATTTGTGATAACATTACATGCATCAGTTTATTCTATTGAAAATGGTCTACAAAATTCACAACAATCATCATCATCATTAGTTGAACCATTTGCATTCGAAATTCAAAGTGTTTAACCGAAAAAAATGAATATATTTCTCAGATTATTTATTGATAATTTTAAAAAATCACTTGTTCCATTTTTGAATGTAATCTAATTTGTATTCTTTTAACATAAAAATTAAATTCTTAAATATATAAATACATGATGTACAGGAGCTTGTATCAATAATATTATTTTGTTGTCATATTGATTTTCTTATAAAATCTTACAATTCAAAAGTATCTGTTTCACGTTTTGGTAAATAAATGGAAGTCTTTTTTGGTTGTTGTTGTTGTTGTTGTTGTTGTGATTGTAATGGATTATGTTTTCGATTTATATTTGTTTGAAGATTTTTTAAACTTTGTATGTATAGAAATAAATGACCAATTATCGATATAAGTAATATAACGATAACCAAAAGAAAAAAATCGCTCAAATCAATATATGCACGTTTTTCGATCAAATGTATGATTAACATTATGGATATGGTTACCATCGGTATCAATAGAATTAAAGCAAATACAAATAATTCATGTTCATGAGAACGTAATACAATCAATAGACCAATGGAAAATAATATGAAACCTTTGAATATAATCAGATAGATTCATTAAATCTATTAGTAAAAAAAACAAATTTTAATTAAAAAAAAAAAAATCTACTTACAAACAGCACCAATAGATTCAGGAACTTTACGCCAATCATAATCACCATAATCATAAATTGGTGATGGCCATAACCAACGTGTAAGACTTGTAAAATAAAAACCACCAGTAGCCATAAAACTGGTACTTGTAATTAGAAAATATTTATAAAAAACTCGGCACATAATGGAAATTATTATTATTATTATTGTGATCAGACTTTTAACCAAAAACAAAAAGAAAAAATTAAAAATTATATTCGAAAAACCATTAAAATTCGGTTCCTGATACTGGTACGCAATTCAAATGGAAAAATATCATTCAATTCATTAAAAAAATTGCTTTTTTTCAGAATGATGAGATATATTGATTTATTTTGTTTGAATATTTTTAGTCAGTTAGTCAAATGTTCTTTTGATTCATGATGAATATAATAATAATGTTACATTTATCATATAGACGTCAGTGTCGTTTATTCGGTAGCTTGTTTTTTTTTACCAACAGAAAGTACAATCAAGAATTTCATACCATATACCTATGTGGTGTATATATGATGATGAGAACTAGAATTTTAAGCTTGAAACTAGAACCTGAACAAAAAAAAAAAAGATCACAGTAACTCGGTTACATTTTATGGTAGTTGTCGTCTAGGTGATGAGATTCCCTTTTTTCCAAGATTGTTTACAAAAAATATGAAAACGCAATGAAAAGGGAAATATAGAATTTAAAAGTCAATTTTTGGCGATTCAAAATCGATAGATATTTTAATTTTTTTTTGTTTTGTTTTTCGTCAATAATCTGAAACCCGAAAATATTACAATAATAAACACTTGAGAAAGGATTTTTTTGTTTTGTTTTGTTTCTCATTTGACAGTTAATATATATTTAAAATCCAAATAAAAAGTTTCAGATGAAATAAAGATAAAAGGAATCCAGATCAAGCGACTAATTTAGTCGATGGATTTTTATTGAATTGTACAATCACAAATGGTTGTTCAAATGAATTTTTACTTCCATTTTTAGACATTCCATTAGTTAGCGATTTTTTTACACCCGAATTAATAACAATTATATTCGAATCATCAAGATCATCAATTGCTGTTGTTGATGATGAAGAATTATTTAAACCAATATCCAATGATGAACGTCTTGTTTGTTGAGAATTATGTTGAACATTTGCTGCTGGATCAATATGATCAACATCGAATAACATATTTTCATTTTCAAGTTCATTTGATAAAAGTTCTGATTTTGAATCAGAATTTTGATGACGATAATGACGACGATTCAAACTATGACTATGTAAACCGTTTGAAAATGATGGAAATTGACTTGGACTACGAAAAGTAAATGTATCCAAAAGATTTCTTGAACGGCTTCTATTTCCACCGCCATTGCTTATTGAACTATTTGAACGACGCCAATTTGCATCAAATTGATTTTTTGTTTGATTTGGTGTTTGATGTAATTCATCTTTCGTTATTAGTTTTGACATGTTTTTATCTTCTGAAAAAATTAAAACAAAAAAAAACAGGTAAATCTTGGAAACTTTTTCATTTCATTATTCAACATTTTTTTACCTTCAGTATGTGTCATTTTTGTCGTTGGTGTTATTTGTTGTTCAAGATCATCAACATTTAAAAATGCAAATTTATCTACAACAGTCGATACAACAGTTGTTGAATTACTACCACTTGGTTGATTTAAATTTGATCGAACATTTAAATTATTTAATTGAACATTTTGATTATGTTCTTTTGAATATAATGATTCTGGCATTATTGATGATGATGATGATATATCATTATCTTTTTCCGGTGTTGAAATTGTTAAATTAACAGTTGTTGTTGATGATGATGATTGTAATTGATTTGCTTTATATCTTTTCTGTTCGGATTCATCAATTCTTTTTGAACATTTAGTAATAAAATAAGCAACAAAATAAACAATAGATGAACCAAGACTAATAATACCAGATATCAATGAAACAGTGGCAACAAACATATAATCGGATTGTTTTTCCATATATAATAATGTTCCTTAATCCGAATCACAAAAAAATGAATTTAAAATAGAGAAAATTTTCATCAATAAACTTTTTTTTTAAAAAAATTACCTATAATAATAAATATAAATCCAATAATTAACAAACAAGACATAAAATAACAAATTGTTTTTGCCGTATCTTGTAATGAACTAGGAGTAGCTACTTTTAATAAACCTTCAGACATTGGTCCTGAATTGATCGAAAGAATTTGTTGATTGGCAATTTTACGGCTATCATGTAAACGATCATGATGTTGTATATCGATATTATCATTAATATTTGATTCATTATGATGTAGGCCATTATTATTATTATCATTATTATGATTTGTATTAATATTAATATTATTATTATTATTATTATTATTGGCATCTTTTTTGTTTTGATTATTTTTTTGATCATCAATTTCGACAACATTATCAATTTCATCAATAATATTTGATATTTCATCAAGATTTTGACGAATTGGTATTTCATCTGGTATTGGTGCTAATGGTTCATCCCATAGCGTACGTGTTGCATCTTCAACATGATTTGTTAAACTTTTTGTATTCGCTGATGATGTTGCCATTGAATTGAATTTTAATTAATTTTCTTCATTAAATTTATAAAGCATAAATAATACTGAATGACATTTAGAAGAATTTTTTTTTTTGGTAATATTTTGTTCAACAAAAAAAAAATTAATTGCGTTGTTTTGTTTTTCGGCGGTAATGGCGGATCTAACTAAAAAGAAAAATCATTATGGTTGGTTTATTTGTCTTTGTATTTTCATATCAACATAGAGGAGAATTCTTTGAAAAATGAGAATAAAAATTTTCATTTATTTTTTCAAAAAAAATGAAACTTTTTTCTTCCTTACTTCATAATCATTCACATTTCACAATAATTTAACCGAATACAAACCATCTGATAATAGAAAGACAAAGAAAGAAAGAAAAAATTATTTGGTACGCTGTGGTGTTTGAACGTAACTTTTTTTTCCATATTTTCATTTAACCACAAAAAAAAGAAAAGAAAAAAGAAAACCAGAATCGAATACTTAATTGTTCATATTCGTTTGTATCCATTGACAACAGCAAACGATTCCAATAAAATGTTTCTTTTTGCTATTATAAAACCAAAACCGGTGTTGTTGTCTTTGTCATAATGACAAAAAAAAGAACTCAATTTTTTTTTCGGCAAATGAAAAGTCAAAAACGAAACCAACGTCATTATACTCAAGATTCAAATCGATCATCATCATCATCAAAACCAGTCCTAAGTATAGTGCAAATAAACATATTTGATATATGATTTATTTGTGACTACTGTTGATGATGATGATCATTTGTTAGTCGGGTATGATCAGATCAAATCGATATAAAATTCATTTTTATTCATCATCAATTTAAGACATAAAAATATTGTAAAATTCCAAGTAATAATTACATTAAGCATATTGAATAATATATATTTTTGTTTTTGCTTTTGTTTTAAAATTTCCTTTTTTAGAATTTATAATCAAGAAATTGATGATGATCAATGTTTTTTTATAGTTACTATAGGAATTTGATTATTAGCTAAAAACAAAAAAAAAGAAACGAAAGAAAAGAATAAATAAATAAAATCAACAACCTCACACAGGTATACGTAGGTCATTGAAATCGGAAATGAAAATGGAGTTCATAGGTCAAATATTCCAAATAATTCGACCTAAATATAATATTTTTTGAATAAGATCTGAGTTTATGTTTGTATTTATAATTTACTATATTTTCATCGTTGTTTTGCCGCATTACAACAATAACAAAATTTTTTGTTATGAAATGATATTTGTTTGTTTTGTTTTTTATCTGATTCATATATATGAATATCGAATACAAACAACATTTGTTTTGTCTTTTTTCTGTTTTCACCATTTTTTTCCAGTTCAATGTTTGTACTTTGTTGCCTTGGATTCCAAAAAAAAAAATTCTTCAATTTGGATATTTGTTTTTTCTCTCATTTCAATAGAATGTCAATCAAAATGCCGAATCCAATTCAAAAAAAAAAAAAATAGTAAATAACAAGAATTATCTATAAAGCTTATTGATCCTACACAGAGATTTGAATCGTTATTTTAGTGCATCTAAATCTATGATTTAATATTCGAAATGATTTCGATCAGAACACAGATTGTGTTGTTGTTGTTGTTATTAATGTTGTTTTTTTTCTGTTGTTGTATTAATCGGTTAACAAACAAATGAATCGAATCGAATGATTAACCAGAACAACAATTATATTTCAGAGAAGAAATGATCAATATCAACACAGCAATAATAATAATAAAAATAACAACAAACAAAAGCAACAACGAAAAAAACGGGAAAATAAAATTCATTGGAAATCATTTTGAATTTTTGTGATATACAGACAATATATTGTTGGTTATAATATTTCGACAATCATTATAATGAAAAATATTTAATGGATAAAAGTTGTCATCCGTTTTTTTCCATCATCATCATCATTATCATTTAATATCGACATCGATATATTGATCGATGTTCAACTCGTGATGATGATCATCATTATTCATTCATTGTCCATCATTTATAGATTTTTATACAGAAAAAAAATTAATGTTAGTTATTCTATGTTTTGATACCTAAAGAAGAACTACTTGAACATCATCATTTTTTTGTTAACAAACTTGTTTTTTCTCGTGATTTATTCGCTTGCTCATTATTTGGCTTCCATTTGTTCAATATTCTCTGTTTTTTTTGTTTGTTTGTTTGTTGCAGAAGTTAACTGGATATATTTGCACATCTATCTTTTTTTTTTCATCGTAAAAATATATTCAGAAATTTTTCTTTGGTTTGCTTATTGACGTACGCATCAGCAATTATTTTTTTTCCTGTTGTTGAGAAAAACCCTCATATCAAAATTTGTTTGAATGAAAACGGAAAAAAAGGGTTGATTTTTATCTTCGACAAAACATTGCATTTTTTAAAATAAATATTTTCAATTTTATTTTTGATCAAAAATGAATCATCGTAATTTTATTTTGTTATCGTTGTTATTTTTGTTTATCAAATTTAAACTTTCTTATCAACAATATCCGAATACTGTTTATGAAGCTGCAAATGATGATGATAATGATGATGATGAATATGAATACGATAATAATGTCCGATCATATGGAACTAATGAAAATGATTATTCAGAACCGATAATAACGGATAAACGTAGATCAATTACAAGACCATTACGTTTAGATCCTGATATATTACAAGAACATTTGTATAGTTTTAAATCGAATGTTTTAAATGGATCGGAAGTTTCAACATTAAAAAATAAAAATTTTACCTGGTCATTATTGAACAAAAATAATGATAATGGTCGAATCCATGCGAAAAAACTAAAACCGGTATTAAAATTTCAATCAAATTTAAAAAATGAAAATGAAAAAACAACCGATTGGATTAATTTGACCAGTGGTATTCAATCTGATCAACCAGCCGTTTCACCATCAATGAATGCTGATAATCAAACATCTATTCCAAGTGAAAATGACGATGATGATGATGATGATGAAGAGGAGATCCGACAAGATGGTAAAAAAATGCAAGGAATTTCGCCTCCAACAAAACCAAAAACTTCAAATGCTAATGCAAAATTATTTCCGAATGAAAAAAATGATGTTATTCGATATGCTTATGCTGGTAATCGAACAGGAGAAACTAATAATAACAATAGACCAATATCATCAAATCCATATCGGCCTTCAATGTATCCGGGGATTGTCAATCAGCCATATTATCCACGATATCAACAATCAAGCCGACAATATTACCGTCAACAACCACCAATCATTATTAACGGTAATCAACAGCCTTATTATTCATATCAGCCAAATATTTTCGCTTCCGATACTACCGCCGTTGCAAAACGCAATTGGACATGCGAAATATCATCATATAACAATTGTTCAATAGTAAATGATCCACAAACTGGACCATTATTTCAAGTTAAAAATTATAATTATTTTCCATATCAATCAACATCAAAACCAGAATGGTATTTAGTATTAAATACAACTACTTTTCCTGATAATAAAATTGGTGCACGTTTAATTACACCATACTTACCACATAATCAAGCTTCAAAAGGTATGATACAAATATCTTTGTTATGTGTAATATATTTTTAAAAAAATTCCAATCAATTACATAGGTTGCCTTACATTAACATTCATAACAACTGGTAAAGAATTGGACAAAATTATGGTCCATCAACAGGACATTGATGATAAATGTATTTATTCGGGTTTACTTTCATCACCGATTACCAGTCCTTCAATTGGTCCAACTGCTCGAATGATGCAACAACAATCAGACCGTTTAATTGAACATAATGTTGAGCTTACAATTAATCTTCGCCAAAGTGATCCACGTTTTTTCATAGAAATCTATGTAAAACGTTTGACAACACGACAAAGTAGTTTTGCTTTTTCCAAAATGAATCTTGCTTATGAACAATCATGCCAAAATGATCAATCAAATAATTGTTTTCAAAACATATATCCAAGTGCCAATAATAATCAACCGAACAAACGAAATCAAATACCTGTTGAACCTTGAATACACCTTTTTCATTTATGATTACAATTAATCAATGTATAATTTATTTTTTCATCATTTTGCTTAAAGATTTTTTTTTTAAAAACAAAATTTAATTGAACATAATCCATTAATTTCTAACAATAAATTAATTTTCTTTTTCAAAATCATTTTCATTTATTACCGCAATAATTTTCGATGCTAATTTTTGCCAATGCAAAGAATCCGGTTGCATATAAAGTTTGTATTTCGATGAAAAATCGGCTTGCAATTTTTGGAAGAAAATTTAAATGAATTTGTATAGTTTGCCAATGACCATCGGAAATTGGTCGACCTTGCCAAATAATTCGATTGGCCATATCTTGTTGCCAGATGATAATCTTGTCGACAACATTATCACCAAACACCATATAACGTAATTTTAAACAACGTCGTTGATACCATGATGATTTAAGTGAAAAACTTGTTTGAAAATAAGGAGTTATTAGACGAGAACCTCGACTCCGTCTGGTTGGTTCAATATTAAGCATATAAACACCACGTTCATTGCATAAAGTTCCATTGGTTATTAAGGTAAAATTCATTAATAATTTTTGATTAATTATACCACAATTATCTCGTATGAATGAACATATCCAATTTTGATTCTCGATCAACGGAATGGCAACATTTTTTTCGGTACTATTCATTAGTTTGAAATTTAATTTCTGAAATCGTTGCAGCTGTTGTCGTTGATGATTGAATTGTGATTTTCCATCGACAATAAATAATAATGATGATTGAAACAGAAAAAATAGAAAGATGAAATTTAATTCCATGTTCAATTTCACAAAATTTATTAATGTTGTTTTTTACGGCCAATGATTATGAAAGTGTAAATGAAAAACAAAACAAAAATAAAAAATTCCAATCAAAACAGAACTGATTTTGATTTTATCGTTGTTTAATCCAAAATCCTGAATCAAATCAGATATATCTGGAGTATGATGAGTGTAATAAATTTGTTTTCCGTAAAAAAAATGGAACTAGGTCGATTTTGACAATTTTTTTTTTCTTCTTCTTCTTCTTCTTGATTCTAGGACCTTCAATGAAACAAATACCTGATGCAGCCAAACAGAAGCCATAAATTATAAATTTTTTATCAAAAGATTTGCAATCATAATTCTCGATTATAGTGTTGAAGGATTCGTTGATAATATATTTTTGTGTGTTCTCTCAACCATTTTTTTTTGATCGAATGTCATATTAGTATCAACAAAAACAATTTTTGACAGATGTCAAAATGTTCTAATTTTTTTTTTTGGATTATAACAGACGATATTGAATCGGTAATTTTTCTACAAATTCTATGCATACAATTTTCAAAACTAAAAAAAAAAAAAAAAAATACAGAAATCTCATTTTCTTACACCCGGTTGTCATTGTAACGATACGAAGTTTATCTAAATTTATTTTTTTTTGATAATAATTTTTTAACATTTATCAAATGAATAAATAAATAAATAAAAACTTAATCAATAATTGATAATTCATCGAATAACTCGGTTTGGATACAGAAAAAAATATACGAAGAAAATATGATGAGTAATTATCAATGAAATTTGATATGACCACAACAGATTAACAAATCAAAATTGGACTATATCATTACAATCCCTTTTTATTTAAAGCATTGATATGTTTATTGGAAATGAAAATCCAACTAAATTTTTCATCATTTGTTAATATGGTGAATTGAACATTCTTTCACAGAAAAAAAAACAAAAATGATTCTAAATCTCATTATTCAAATATTACTTTGCATCTGTTTGATTGCATCGATAATAATGTTTATGCCTGGATGTATATTGTTAGATATTCGACCCAAAATTTATCCAGCACAATTACCAAGATCATTAGATCAATTTGATCGATTTGAAGATTTAAAAATCAATGAATTTACCAAAATCAATCTTAATGATAATAATACTGTACCAGAATCAATAGCCATTTATCAGGGTCATCTTGTCACCGGATCGGCTGATAGTACATTGTATCTTATTAAACAGACGGATAATTCGGTTGAAACATTGGTGAAAATTATTGATGATAAAACGAAAACACAAAATGGCCATCAACAACCGATTATATTGGGACTTCAATTCGATTCGAAAGGTGTTTTGTTTGCTGTCGTTTTAAATTATGGTATCTACAAAGTGGAAGGAATTTTCAGCAAAACAAAAATGAATGTCAAAGTAAGCGAAGTATTAAGTGTTGAACAAACACAAACATCTACTGGTGTGTTTAGTAAATTTTTGGATGATATTGCTATCGAAGAACGATCTAATGGTGAACATATCTTGTACATTACCGATTTAAGTACCCGTTATGATTTTAATCAAATTGCATTATCTTTATTAAGTGTTGATTATTCTGGACGATTACTACGCTATGATATGGCTGAAAATCGACTAGACATTTTGGCAAATAATTTACTTTGTCCAAATGGTATTGTTTTGTTACCGGATAAAACAGCACTACTGTTTTCGGATTTTAGTAAATCTGTGAACAAATATTGGCTAAAAGGTTCAAATGCCGGAAAATTAGAGAAAATAATAACAAATCTTCCGGCTGAATTGGACAACATCCGTCCAAGTATAAATGGAAAAACATATTGGCTAGCAATGAGCAATCCACGTACCATGAAAAAACCAAGTGAATTTGATTATTTTCTAAAAAAACCATGGCTACGTACATTGATTTTGCGAACATTACATCTAATAGGCATGTTATTTGATATTGTAAAACAAATCATACCATCAAATGATTTTATTGATAAAATGGCTAATGATTTAAAAACAGTACAAGGAATACATTCGTTAAGTGAATTACATATATCCGATGGTGGAATGATGATTGAATTTGATTCGGATGGAAAAATTTATCAAAGTATCTATACACATAATGAAGAATTGAAATTAATGAGTGAAATTCGTGAAATTTCATCCAAACAATCTGATCAACGAATTTTATATATTGGATCATGGAAGTTACCATATATTCGTAAGCTTGTATTTTCGAATAAAAAATCTCAAAAAACTTTTTAATAAATAAAACATGGAAAAACCTTCCCAAAAAAAAACTGATGACGATGATGTTGATTAAAAAAAAAAGAATAAGGCTCATCAAAATTGTCCTTGAGACTTTTTTTCCATTCATTTCCAGGTTTTTGTAGTAGGCGTCTGAATAATTTTTCCTAAAACACTACACCTGGGAATCATATTTCACTACAATTCAACAACAATGTTTAGTCTAAATTTTTGTTTTGTTTTATCCATTCAGAATGGTAGGTTGATTTTCAGAATGATTAACAGATTATTATTGAGATCCATAACAGATGATAACAGAATTTTATCAATTTTCAATATATATTTTTATTCCATCATTTTGAATATAACAAAACAAAAAAAAAATAACGATGACAAAAGAAAAAATATATATTTAAAAAAACATATTGAACAATCGTTCAACAGAAGATCACAAAACAATGAAAATATTTAACGATGAAACGAATTTATCAATAGTTTCTATCGGTTGGTTTTTTGTATTTGTTATTGCCTTAATAATGTTTAGATGTTTCATCGAAAAAGTTGATCGGGATGAATTCTAAGCTGATATCGTTTTTCGATATTTTTTTCCAATTTGACATCTCAGTAGCAAAAAAAACAACAACAAAAGATAATCTGTACAAAATAAAAAACATCAGCACATACAAATATGAAAAACAATGATTCTGAATAACAATTGTTTGGGAAAAACCGTAATCATTTGTTTTCTATTCGAAGATAAAGGTAAAAAAACAGAAAAAGCTGTGTATATAATGACAAGACAAAAAAATGGAAACTTTTTCATATTCTGCATTGGAATTGCAAAAAAATATGCTAAAAACAATCATTTGGATCGGTGTAGCAAAAAATCAAAGATTTGAAACGAAGACATTGATAAATGACATTTAGACGATCTTCGACGTTTGATGGTTGACCGTCCGGTTTACGGGCAAATGTCCAATGATTACGAATGTAAAGTGGTATTACTTCTTCAAAATTCAATATATTGATTGCTTTATCAATTTCCGATAATGAAAATTGTAGTTTATGTAAAAAATCAATAACTTTGACAAGAAATTCTAACAAATGTATATCATCTTGCATAATAAACTTTTGCATTAATTTTGCACGATTATGTAATATTTCTTCATTGATCAGTACCAATTGACTGTTATCAGCATTTCTAAAGGATTTAATTGAATTCGCAATAAGCATCAACAGGAATTGAATGTTACAACTGGAATTAGTGAAACACAGATTTAAATCCATTGAAAAATGTTCCATTATTCTTTCAATATCTTGATTGGAATCACCATCTTCTAATGATTCGTTAATGGCACAACAAAATATCCGTGATAAATTCATACTTTTTCTCCTATTGATCATCAGATATTACATTTAATATATTTTCAACCTGTATTTTTAGCCATCAATAAAATCGTCGAGTTGGAACGCCAAAATCAGCATCAAGTCAAGCACATAAAAAGAAATAATTAAAAAAAACAATCAGAAAAAAATTAAATAAAATCGAAGGTCATATTTTGAGAAAATTATAATTATAATTAATTAATTAAACAAAAAAATAATTTTAAAAAGTAGAGACAGTCGAATTTCCAGAATTACATTCGCATACCTTCAAAGAATTTTGTGTTTACTTTAAAAAAAGACAGCAAAAAAAAAAGAAAAAAGAAATACGATTACAGACTCGAAATACGATCATCGATTTCGATAAACAGACAAAAGAATCAATGATCAAAAGCAATTTTTTCGAAAGGCGTATACCGTTTCTTTTCTGGCTAATTTGCTAATGTAAAATTTGTAAATGATGACGAAATATAAATGTCATATCAATAATCAAAATCTATCATTAAAAACCACATGTAAAATAGTGATAAAAATCTTATCCACATTTCTTTTTTGGTTTGTTTTCACGAAACAGATTTTCCGAGATTTTTTTTTGGAATAAGAAAAACAATCATATCGATACAATCGATTCTTGTCAACAAAAAAAAAAGGTTTTATATTTATTTTGCGGCAAACGCATGCGTCTGTGTTTGTATTTACAGCTGTAATTTTTTTTAACACTTATTTTGTGTCAGCAGAATGTTACACTGACTTTAGCGGCATTAAAAAAAAATTTGTTCTTCGAATGTCCTGTGTTTTTGTTTTTGATCTATATCTATTCTTTAATGAATAACGAAATACTATTGAAGATAATCATCATCAACAACAACAACAAGAAAAAGAATAAATTCTTCTAATTAGTAACAGTAATTTGACCACAAAGATTATTTTGGCAATGTCAATAATATGACGTAAAACAATACAAAACAAAAAAAGACAAACTAAATTTAAATTGGCTTATGTTGAAGAAAAAAAACAATTGAAAATTCTGAGTACTTTTTCGAGTATTTTTTTAAAAAACATCTTTTAAATGTTGGCAATTGTACCAGACAAAAACATTGATAACTGTTGATCGTTTACGATTACCCATAAGGGTAATTTATTCAACAACAAGAAAAAAAAATTATTTGTGAATCTTGTTTCATCAACAATTAATGGTTGTTGATGTTTTTATTTTGTTGTCTCTGTAAATTGATTATTGTCATTTAGTTGTGTTTATGTAAATGTGTAAACACTCATATTTTTAATGAAAAATTAATAAATGTCTATTTTTTTCTATTGCTGCTATACCAAAGTGTCTGGATGATTATTATTCATTTTTATTAGTTTTTTTTGTTTTTGTCGAGAAGAGTAAAGGTTTGTATACACTTTTTTTTGTAAAATCATCGTTGAAACCAAATTAAAAATTCAACATTCTCATTCACATAATCATCACTTATTTTGGATGATCATTTTTCATTTTGAAACTTTTTAAATAAATATTTTTCTCTTTTTTTTTTGTTCACTCATAGGAATCGAATGTTTTTCTTGTCGTAGTGGTTGTTTGATTGTTTTTGATTCTTAAAATTTTCTACTTATGCGTGACGTTTAACTAAGAAATTCATCAAAATATGTCTACATCTGCTGATAGTATTATCATCGAACAGCCAATACAATTGGAAGACGAACATGAAGAAACAATTTCCGCTGAAGAATATATGCGTCGAGAAAAAGCTATTAAAGGAACTGATGAAAGATTTCTAAATGGTGATAATTCTGATGAAGAAGGTTGGCGATCTGAAGCATTAGCCGTAATTGATGATATTCAACCATTCGTTGAATTTATGTCCATTTCATCGATCTTACCATGCGATAATAATGGTGTATACATGAATCTTAAAACAAAAGAATCCATTGGTTTAACTATCGAATTAAGTTCGACCGGTTTTCGTATATGCGGTCGTGGTTTTGATACAATCGATGATCCGAATGAAAATGATTCTATTGAAATCACTAGCTCATCATCATCAATGTCAGAAGAACCGCTACAAATATCCTTAAATAGTTATTATGAAACACCATATTCATTATTGGATACAATATCACCTTCATATAGAAATTCATTCAGTGATGAACTTGCACAACGACTTATGAAACTTTGTAAATAATAATATTAAACAAAATGAAAGATTTCACATATTTTTGGTTATTTTTAATGTTTCAAAAAAAAAATCCTTCTATCAACATTATAGAATCACACTCTCATATTTATATTTTGCATGTATCTCTTGTTATTTTTTTTGTTGTTGTTGATTATCGTTATTGAATATTCTATTATCTTTAATTTGTTGTTTCAATACTTAACAATGATTACTTAAACAAATCAATCTACATCATCATCATAATTTATTATCATTATATTTTGTTTCACAAACAAAACAAAACAAAACAAAAAATCTATTATAAATTCATAAAATTCAAGCAATATGTTTGTTTAATGTGTATATCAATAAATATAATAAACCATTATAATATTGATAAAAAAAAATTCATTTCAAAAAAAAAGTATACTTTAACAAATTCTGATGAAGATGATAATGGCGAACACAACACAAAACCATAACCAGAGACATAAAAGGATGATGATGATGATGATAATGAATTTCATTCCCTTTTACATCCTTATCGATAAAACAATTTCATCTAATAATTATCTTTCATTTTGGCTTTTTTTTTGATATATCAAATTTGATGAATAAATGACATATATGATGACAAATATATTAATAAAATGAAAAAAAAACTTTATAATGTCACGCACGTATAGTTTATTTTTACATATTTTCTTATGAATTGTTTACTATGGAATCGGTTGGCAACAAGAATTAACACAAATAGAGAGATATTCTGGATGCTTTTTGATGATGATATTTAATTTATTCATAAACATGTAAAGTAATGCAACAACGATAAACACATATCGCTATCATCATATTTCTAAAATGAAACAATATTTTTTTTCTGTGTTTGTGTGTGTGTCAAAAACAAAATTCATAAAAATTAACGAAAAAACAAAACAAAAACAAAACAAAAAAAATGGAAAAATAATGACACCATAGCTGTGATTTGTTTTGTTATCGTTATCGTTATTGTTGCTGATGATGATGATAAAATGATTATCCATTGTAGAATAATATTTTCATTTTGATTGACTGATGTTTGTCGCTGTTTCCGTTTCAGTTGATAAAGTAATAGAGAAAAATGTTTTGTTTTCATTTTACTTTGTTTTGTTTTTGTTGACAGCCTTTTTTTCCATTTTATTCCACTTTAGTTTAGTCGGTATTGCTCCTTTTTATTTTAAAACAAAAATCAAATTTACAAAATTTATAAAATTCCGTTTGTAGATTTTCTCATGTTTAACATCCACATTGACAACCAATGACAGATAACAACATAATCCATATACGTTACATTGTTGTTGTTGTTGTTGATAAAATTTTACAATCTACTAAAAATAAAGTTTAGTTAATTATTTTCATGTTTTCGACGAGCAAAAGAAAAAGAAAATTATAAATAAATTATTTATTTATAATCATTTTAATTACAATGATGTTACCAACATGGAAAATACAACGAGTAGTTTTCGAGATGAAAATTTCTTTCCCCCTACCAAAAAAAAACTAAAACAACACTTTCAAATAGTGAAAAAAGAAGGAATGGAAAAGAATTGTAAATTATAATAAATTACGTTTGAAATATCAAAGAAAAAATACCGAATACAAATGTGTCCACCGTTAATGGTGAAAGAAAAATAATATTTTTTGCTGAATTTAGCAAAGAAAAAATTCTACCCCATTATAATCCTTGAATTTTTTATGACTGTATTTAGTTTAATATGAATGGATATCCGTTTGTTTTCTTCCCCCCTCCCCTAGTAAATTTGTCGATTTTATGGATGAATAATGCTCATCATCATCATCATCATCATAATCATCCATACAAACGAAAAGCTTTACAAAAGAACATACAACACACACACAATACCACAATTCACATTGGAGATCAATTTTTCAATTTTCTAAATTACTTAGCCAGCTTGCAAAATGTATTCTTTCTAATAGTATTTCCAATGTCAGAATATAAAATGAGAATAATTTTTTTTTGTTTTGTTTTGTTTTCGTTTGATTCTGCAATAGCAAATGATTTTTTTTTTTTTTTGGTTTTCGAAATTTTTGAAACACGTTTTAGACGATAGGTGTCACCACTATTGAACATTTAGTTCCGAAGAAAAGTTGTGTTTGCGATAGATTTTCCAGAAAGAATGATTCGAATGTGAATACAAAAAAATAAAGAATAACTACCTATTCATAAACATTAAAAATGAAATTTCAAATAGAATAATATCAATAAATTCATATTGGTCAATTCGTAATTCATTGGAATTCAACATTATTATTCATTTATTTCAGTTGGCACAAATATAAACATCCGGTATGTTTGCTTTTTATTTTTATTTTTTTTATTTTATCGTTTGTTTTATTTTAATATTTTCATACATTTCTATATGAATGTGTGATTTTAGCTAGAGGTTTTCAACCAACGATTCGAGTCACGATTTTGAATATTCTTTCATTTGAATGAAAAGAAAAAAATATTTCTCTTACTGGGCCCGCTTGAACTTGGAACCAATTGAAAACGGCTGATTTAAAGAATCTTTTAGAAGAACTAAATATAATTCTACACTACCACTACTTACCACTAGGCACAATTCTGTATATAAAGAATATAATGTATCGAGAATCAGCAGAAAAAAATATCCAGATTATTTTGCCTTGATGGTCGGGACTAGCGCACAATATAATGTCAGTGAATTTCATTGCAGATCGCGCCAAATAACGAAAAAAAACGAATAAATGCCAGGCATCGAAACAATATTCTTGTCTAAGTTTTCATCATCGTTTTCGGTAACTAGACTGAAGCTGTCGAATTCACATATATACAGCCAACGAATTCCTTGTTTTATTAAATTCACAATGTTCATTCAATTTATCATCAATAATAGTTGTTCAATTCGTCAAAATATTTTTTCAACGACATTTAATGAATTTGATAAAGACATAAGAATGATAGAAATTCTTTGTCTTTATTATCATTATTATTATTATTAATGTTATATCAATTTTCGATCAACGTTAACTGACAAAAATCAACAAAAAAAAACTATTCAACAAAACTATAATTGATTTGTCTACTACATTAGTCGAATAATTTGACATATCTGGTTTCTATCTCTATTTTTTTATATAGATCATTTTATTCTCATTACATCACAAAATGTTTTTTATCTTTTGATTCGATTAACGATTTTTTTGTTCAGTATTCTTTTCTGTGATCTCTTAATGATCAATCTGTTGTGCGTGTGTGTTTGCAGTTCCATTACTATAAAAATAAAAACATTCATTATAAAAAGAAGGGTATCATGATGATCTGATCATTATCATCATCGTCTAGTTTATCATATCTTTTAAATCGAATAAATTGAAACACCGTTCGACCATCATCATTAACAATATTCAACTGTACACATATGGTATTTATGTTTGTTTATTTAAATCACAATACTGATAAAAAGATGTTAAATTTGTTTGTTTATTTTTTCTGTTTCCCATCTGTTTTCTATATTTTTGTTTGTTTGCACTAAATCAACCATATTTTCCAGATAAAAACATCTTCAAGTGATGACACAGTGAGATTTCATCGATTTCTGTTCGAATAAAAATCAGTATTTTTCCGATCATTCTCAAGCAATTGAATTTTTTTATTCAGATGTCAAAATGTCTGTGTGTATATATGGAATCGTGAAGAATTCGACACCTACTGTTTTTCGATTATTCAATGTTGAAACTCATTTACTCAAAATATCTGTTACTTAATAACATATTTTTTTTTCGAAATGAAATCTCATTATTCATTGTTTCATTAACTGTTTCAAGTGAATCATTAATATTTTGAACGTGTTATCAATTCGTGTACACACCGGAAACTGGAAAATTAATATTCAACAAAATATTCGTTCTATTTTGTTTTTCAATGTGTGTGATAGCCGTTATTAATAACGACAAATAAATCAAATACCGGCGACAAACAAAAAAAACCATGAGACGAGCACTGAATTTTATTTCCAACAATATGTTTTTGTTTGATATATATTCTTCAATAATCTTTTCTCATTTCCTTCATCATCATCATTATCATCATCATAAACTTTTGCTCATTAATTTCATTCATTGCTGATGAAATACTGGTGAAATAATCGATCATTAATGTTGAAGTATATGTATTCTTCATTCTCAATTCTTCATTTCTCATTATAATTATAAACTTGAAAACATTCTCCATGTTAATTATTAACTTCAACAAGATATTTTTTTATAGTCGAATCACCTTGACATTATATTGTCAAACGAAATTGATATGATTTCAATGAAAATGACACTCAAAAAAGAAAAATTCTATCAACTTTCATCGATATAATTATAATAATTATCACTTAGCGAGATTTTATTTTCTCTAAAGTGACATCGTCGTTCAACAAAAATTTCTTTTTATCCGGAAAAAATAGTGAGATATAATAATATCCAAACATCAAAGATAAAATGTCAAGCATCGTGATTGTGATCAGTTTTTCATTATTGATTATTGTTTCATTTTGTGGTAATACTTTAGTTTGTCGGACATTATTCCGACAACGGCGTTTTTGTGCCAATTCAACTAATGTATTGATTGGAATGTTAGCTATATCCGATCTAATGATGACCATATTTAATATACCATTCACTGTTGCCGATATTATTCTCAACGATTGGATATTTGGTGATTTTGTTTGTATATTAGTTTCGTTTGTACAAGCAAATTCTGTATATGTTTCTAGTTTTACAATGGCTGTGATTGCAATCGATCGTTGTAAAGCTATCTATAAATTTCGGCCTAAACAAACATCAAATGATGCAAATACAACAACAGCAACAACAAATAATAATAATCATAATGATAAAAATATTAACGGAAACGCTGGTACCTCCAGTGAAAATATAGAATCATCTACTAATAGAACCAATGATGATGGTGGTGGAAATAGTTGTTGTTGTCTAATGGATTGTTATATTTTCAATATATTATGTCCGTTGTTTCGATCCACTAATAAATCTGTTCATCTTAATTGTTCACAATCAGAATCATCATCAAAAACACGTACAACAACAACAACAACAACAAGATTTAAATTAGAGCTTAGAACCAAAATGATTTTAATCATATCTGCTATATGGATAATGGCAGCATTACATTCATTGCCACATACAGTTTTTAATCGTGTCACTGTAATTGAAGTGGATAATATTATTGTCGATTCAGAAATGAAAAGTACTAGCAATAAGAATCGTGGTACTAATCCAAGAAATGATTTTAAACAAAGAATTGAAACAACTGACATTGCAATTATTGAGGATTTTAATATCTTGGATTCTGATGAAAATAGTAATTATAAGTATCCCATATCATCATCATCATCATCATCATCAACAACAACAACAACAATGATAATGGAAATGAATAAAACACGCACAATAAGACGATGTATACCGATAACGCCTAGCTGGTTTGGACCAAAATTTAGTCTTTGGTTAACATTATATACGACAGCAACACAATATATTATACCATTATCTTGTGCAGCAATCATATATACACGAATTGCCTTTACAATAAATTCTCAGGGTAAAGTTGGCCAAATGACTGAATCAAGAGCTGAAAAGATTAATAAACATAAACGTCGCCGTTTATTGATGTTAGCATTAATTGTTGCTATATTTGCTATTTGTTGGTTACCATTTAATGTTTATTATCTTTTATTGGATTTTGGTATTACTAAATCATACAATCATACGGCATTTTTATTCTGTCTTTGGTTAGCAACAAGTTCAGTATGTTATAATCCATTTGTTTATTGTTGGCTAAACAAAAGTTTTCGTCAAGAAGCAAAAAATGTATGGAATTGTTTAACTCAATTGTTTCCCTGTCGCTTTTTTTGTCGTTGTTGTTATAGTGGTACGAATGAACGACAACCATCTCAAGATCAAAATCAATTTTCACGACAAAATCAACCGGATCAAAATATATCAAAACAACCATAACACAATATATTGAAAATCCAGATCAAAATTCAAGTAGAACTTTATCATCATCATCATCATAATGAATAATTATCATTATATATCATAAATCCAAAGTCCAAATTTTACTTTCTCTCTCTCTTTTCCATTTCCTGACATATTAAATGGCTTTTTTTCTACTTTTTTATATTATTATTATATATAAAAAAAATAAAATTGTCATCATTATATTTGAATTAAATACAATATAAATTGTTTCAGGAACAAAAACAAAAAATGAAAAATAATAATTTGAAAACAATTGTCTTTTCGTATTACTTCATAATTCAATCGATCGATTACGACCATACGTTAACTTCTTTTTTTTATATTTTTACTTAAAAAAAGAATTATGACGAAAAAAATGTCATCGACGAAAGTAATGACAAAACACTAGAAGAGAATAAAAAAAAATTAGAGAAATGAGTTGATGAACGTAAATTACAAACAAACAAACATGGAAGAAAAAAGAATGATGTGTTCAATGATTCCAAGAATTTTTCTGATTTTTTCATTTCATTTGAAACTATTTAAGTGTAAAAATACTTTTAGAGTCATAATTGAATTTAACAACTTTTTTTACGTCTTTTGATCTATAATAATATTTCTTTCTGGTCCTTTCAACAATCAATTGTATGTTATTATCAATGTGGAAGAAAGAAAATTTTCAGTAAAAATAAAAATGAAAGTGTAAAGACGAATAAGGAAACAAAAACATTGATCAAAAGAATGTGAATGATATTTTTGTTGTTGTTGTTGTTGTCGTCGTTGTTAGCACATATGTCATCGTAAAACAATTGAATCATTGAATTTTTTTTTCATTCCTGTCCATTTATTTTGTTGTTGTTTCTTTTTTTTGAAAATTAAATTCAAAAAATACTGTTTGTCTGTATCTGTATTTTTGCAAATAAAAGTGTACATTCTTTTTTTTTCTTGTCATTTGTCATTTCAACATTTTTTCTATGAGCAAACAACAACAACAACAAAAGAGAAAATTCTAGAGAATTTCGTTTGAAAGAATTTTTTTTGTTTTTGCTTTTTGTTTGCCAGAATAGTTGTTTTAACAATGACTTTGGCAGAATAAAATTTAAAATATATAAAAAATGATAATAAATGCCATTCTGACCCATATTTGACAATATTTATCCACAAATAAATTGTGGTGAAAACAAAAAACCAAGGATAATGAATAAATTAGAAGTACATTCATTTTTTTTACGTAAACATTACCAGCGCCCTCATATTTCATTATTGAAACACTTGTTGTATAGTTAAAAAGAATCATTTTTTATCAGTAGTAAAAGGAAAAAAAACTGGATCAAAAGATCAATGATGAAAACAAATGAATGAATGAAAAAACAACAATGTTTTCTCTTTCATAAGCTTAAGTATTTCAAATTAGAAATCAAGGATTTTTACTATCGACAGCTTTGGATTATTTTTATTTACTTTCAATGAATTCTCAATCATTTGTTTCCATTATATTAACGAAACAGACAGAACAAAAATCATCGTAAATCATATAATAATGATCAAAAAGAAAATCATATTTTGAAGAAAGAAAATTTTTCTGCACGTCATCACCAAATATCATGATAAACATTTTTTTCTCTTCAAGAATCTTACAATATGAAATATAAAAATTCAGTAGCGAATGAAATGACAAAAAAAAACAAAAATGAAGAATCTCAGCATCGCCAATCCTTTTCCAAATTCATTAAAATTATTAAATGTTGTCAACTGAAGAAATCTTTCAACCAAATAGAAAGTCTAGTCATCATCACAAGAAGCAGAACAAAACAAAACAAAAAACAGGGGAAAAAAGAATAAGAAGTTCAAATGAGATTCCAACCATTCTTCATAGGTTTCACGTATGGCGGAAAAAATGTCATTACAAAAAAAGAATGAAACAAAGAAAAAATGAAAAATAGATAAATGATCACAAAATATTTGTATAATTTTTTTTCTTTTGTTTAAACATCATAGAATTGAAGAAAAGAGATTAACCAGAACCAAAGAAAAACATAACAAAACAAACTTGAAAAGAACAAAAAAATTTGAAATCATTCATGAAATCAATGATCCATTGATGTTGTAATAAAGCAAAAAGAATAAAAAAGGAATTCCGTCTGTGAATGAAAGTAAAATTACTTTTATTCTATCTTTAAAAGTGGAAAAACAATTATAATTCAAACATGATGATGATGATGATGATGTAAATGATCTTAAGCTATTGTATGGGAAAAAAATGTCTACACTTTTCTCTCAATCTCAATTGTGGTTCGTGAAATTGTCAAATGAAAAAAAAAGAAAAGAAAATTAAACAAAGTTGTTTTGTTTGTCACAGTAAAAGATTGGTTTTTTTTCTCAAATTCTATAAAAGATAATAAAGAAGAGGCGAGAAAGTAAGCGAAAAAAGCAATAAAAGAAAAAAAAAGGATCATAGAATAAACAAAACGAAAATGAAAGTGAAATGAACAAACAAACAAACAAAAAAAATTGGCTTCGAAATTTTCCTGGAAACAATTATGCATCCAATGTTTTTTTTTTAAAGAAGCAGATGAGAGCAAAAAGAAAAATGAACAAAATCAGCCTAATATTCTAATAAAATCAATTCAATACAATGAAAAGCTAAAACCGCTAAAATTTATTGGCTGAAATCCATTACAGACACACACACACACACAAAAATCTAACACAGTAAAAAAAATGGTGTAAAATTAACTAGAAAAAAAAACTGAATAAATTGAGATTCAATTTTAACAGAATTACTAAAGAAAGTTAGAAAAAAACAGTGAATTGATTTTCGAGGTTTCGTTTCTCTTTTTCAAATGAGAAAAGATTCCATTTTGTTTGATTTAATTTGAGTCTAGTTTATTATTATTTGTGCAATGAATGTATATTATTTTTAGTCATCGAAGTTCTTCTTCATCAAAAAAAAAAACAAACAAACAAACAAATCAGAATGTATAATCACAAATTGATTTTTCACTAATGCATTGATTTTGATTTTGAGAAAATTTATTAGCTGTGCAAAAATTATAGAATAAATTAATTCTTTATTAAGAAATCAAAAAAAAAACGATTGACCGTGATCAATGCATCGTACAGTTTGTCAAGGACGCATGAAAACATCTTGATGAAGAATCTTGACACTGTATTTATTTATGAAGAAAAAATATTGACAAGAAATTTTCCAAAATTCAATCATATATTAAAAATGTCTACATGACAGGAATTCTATGTTTGTTTTATGTAATATATTACATATTAAATAAATAAAGCAAAAAGAGAAGTGAAAAAAAATTGTCATTCAAAACCCAAAAAAATGAAATATAGTGATGATGAGATTAATGTTTGCATTTTTTATATATTCAATGCAAATCAAATAACTTGAATATATGTCGTCTGAGTGAAAATATACAAAATTTATTATACAAGCTTGTTGTTGTTGGTTGGAAAACTAAACTACAAAGTTAACTTTTAATTTTTTTGTTTTTGTTCCATCTTATTTTTAAAAGCCTAATGGTTTAGGTTTTTTTTTGGGAATACACTCGAAATAAAGTTGAATCAAGTTGTCATAACGATATGATATTTGTATCAGGAATAATAAATAGAATGAATGTTGAGAGTTGATTCAAGAAATTTGACATGTATTGCATGTTATCATCATCAACAACAACAACAAAACTGGGATAAGAAACAAAAATAGACAACAAAGATTATAAAGATGTTGTAACCCATTAATCTGCGGTTTGAAACCAATTTTTTTTATTTTGTTTTGTTTTATAAAAAATTCACGAAAAAATATTTATATCAAATAGAGAAACCAGTTGTAACCTTTTAATTTTTTCACAGAATCTTGGTTACTTTTTTTTTGCTCCATCCATTAATATTCAGATCAAAATATAACCAAGTCATTCTGACAGCAACAACAACAACAACAACAACAAGTCAACCTAAATAAAATGAACGATTTACTATAGAAAATTTTTCATAACCTTCAAATTTTCTATGTAAAAACATCATGCTCTAACAATAACAACAACAAAAATCATGTAACCAAGAGAAAAAAAAAGAAAAATGTGAAAGAATGTAAATGTTAACAAAACAAAACGAAACGAAACGAAACAAAAATACCAGAACACATGTCAAAATAAATATAAACAAAAAATAACAATATAACAAAAATTGTTGTTGTCATTTTTTTTGTTTGTTTGTTTGATTCACGACGATGGTTAATATTCCTGGTAGAATAATAACAACAACAAAAGAATAAAATGCGAATATGCGAATGAATTTGATAGTAGATGAATGGAATATATATACCCAATCAAAAACAGAGAATATTATTAACAGAGGTTTTTCATTTTAGACTCTGACTGCAAAAAATAAATGAATAGAATGAAAGGTTAGAAAATTTTATTTTAAATGAAGTTGAGAAGATTCAGGTTATTATCATATATATGAAAAAATACCGGCCAAATAATAAAAAATGTTCATAATTTCAGTGACTGTTTTCGTGTTTAGATTGACTTGAATTATTATGTTTCAGCAACATTGTCAGTTAGAAAAAAGGCAAAAAACGAAAGAAAATGTCAGCGTTTTTTAGATTAATTTTTCAGAATGAATGAATAAATAAATGATGATTGACAATGACATAAATGACAATGAAAAAATGAAAAACAAAAAAAGAAGATTGGATACTACTGATATGCATGTGAAAAAAATAGTTGATGATTGATAATTAACATTTTTTTCTCACTAATCATCCGGTTATCATTTATTTTGCAATTTTTTTGGACAATAAATATTTTACCCATATGTCACCATATGTTAAACAATCTTTCGATTTTTTTCAACAATTCGTTATCATGAAAAACATCATTGAATATTGATTTGTAAAAGAATGTATAATGTAAATGTTTAATTAATTAATTTGATTTGATTTGTTTCAATTGTTTTTAATTTGATGGATTAATAAGATAAAAAATGTGAATCTGGTTAGTATTAATGGATAATAATATAAATGATGTTTAGCAATTAGTAGCGAATGTTTATATTTAAAATAATGGCAAAACACAAAACAAAATTCATGAGAAAAAACAAAAACAAAAATTTGCCAGATTCAAAGATTCAGCAAGAATTGTAACGTAAATGTGATCATTTGTTAGTTTTGTTTGGTTTTTTTTCTAATAAATATTTCTTATTCTTGTTTTCATTTGCCTGATTGGTTTATTGTAAATGAAAAAAATAAAAACAGCATACCATTGTCATTTCCTTTATTTATTTTTATTTTTATTTTTTTCCATTCTTCATCTTTCGTATTCAATTTTCTTTTCATTTTATTTTCTAACCACTTTTTTCCATTATTTTGTCCATCTTTTCTGGAATTTTTGTTTTTGTTTTTGATAATCGGTAGTGTTTTTTCTATTTTCTTCTGGAAAACAAATCAAACAGAAACAAACAACAACAAAACAAAAACAAACACATAATCTTTCATTTTATCCAATTTGTTCCGGTTTTGTTTGTTTGTTTTGGTTGAAACAAACCAAATATTGTATTTTTAGTTGTTTTTGATGACAAAAAAAATAACCAAAACAACAACAACAAAACAAAACAAAACAAAACAAGAAACATTAGAAAATGGACAGAAAATGTTTTTGTTTCATTATAAGTTTTTTTTTGAAATTATTCTCATTATTCTTATTATAAAAAACAACAAAAAACATGTAATTGAATCCAAAGAAATGTTTGTAGAAAAGTGTAAAAAATGATAAAAATAATATGAATCAATTTATAATTCGAAAACAACAAGAGAAAAACTGATAATCCAGTGAAATGTAAACATTAAATTTGAAAAAATGTTGGATCGAAAAGAAGTAGTGGATGTAGATTCTTGAAAAAAGTTTGTTTTTTTTTTAATATTTCGGATATGAAGAGGCATCACTTCACAATTATCATTGTTTATCATATTTCTTGTAATTTTATCTTGCTAAAAACAGAAACAATATTGTTTTGTTTGGCTAAAATTTAATTATGATTTTGATGTCATTTTTGATTTTCATTTATTGTTTGTTTAGACGAAACAAACATTAATGGCTATATTATCATCAACCATAATATTATTGTTCGTTATCATTATATCTTTATATATTTCATTGATTAATTAAATGTTCTATTGTTAATCGTTGTGGTTAATTCAAATGAACGCATTTCAAAAAAAAAGAAGACAATTGTCATTAAATAGAAATGATAATGATTAAAACTGCAGACAAACGATGCTGCAAAAAAAAGAGAAATATTCTGTGAAAATGAAAATTCCATGGAAAAAAACTATGAGAATTATTCGATCAGAAATGAGCAAAAAAAAAAGAAAAGAAAAAAGTTTTCGTCATTGTCGGTTAATAATGATGTCAAAGAATAGATGAAATGATGGAGAATAAATGAATGAATGAATGAAATATTATTGGCGATTTTCATCGAAAAAAAAAATATTCGCTCATACGAATGACATTGAACATGAACAAGAATAATATTATATAAAAAAACAGAGAAAATCATTCATTCAAATGATCAGCCATATGTAATGATTGTGGCTAATAAAATACCAAACAACAACAATAAATCGATCGAAAATGGATTTGTATGTGGGAAAGAAAAAATATTACATTAACACACAGATGGTCATAACAAGATACAAATGACACAATCCTGAATGATTTACACAATGGATATGTTCATGGGAAAAAAAATGGAAAGTACAAGAGAGAAAAAAAAATCAATCAATTGAATAACTATTGAAGACCTACCCACCACAAACATTCATTGTGGGGGGGGAATTTATTCAAATTATCGAACCATTTTATTATCATCATACAAAAGAAAAACAAAACGGAACAACGATTACTGCTGCTGCTGCTGATGAACATACAAACAGCAAAAAAAAAAGTTATGATAACAATAAGAAAAAAAAAGAACTTGCGATTCTCATAATGAAATCAAAATTGTTCTGGCTTGAATGAGAAATGCAGAAAATTGTTCGTTTCAGTTTGTTGCACTGATTCTAAGAAATAAACAATAGAACCGGCTTTATTCGTTTAGTCGAATAGAATTTGGTTTTTTATTGTTGTTTGAACAAAATAATAATAATTGTATAAGAATATAAAGGAAATAAATACCCCTACAAATACAACTTTAATATTTGACCAAAATGAATAGACAACGTTTTCTTTTCTTTTTTTTTGTTGTTGAAAATATCGAAAAAAAAGAATATGTAATCATCGAAGATGATGATCACGTCTATGAACTAATTTTTTCTTGGAATTTATTTTCCAACACAACAACCAAAAAAAATATGATCTTTCTTGCATTTCAATAATATGTTCAAAAGTTTTTTTTTATTCAGATTTCTTGTTAAAATCCGTTGATTTAATTTTTTGTTGTTGTTGTTTTTTCTAGTTGTTATTCACTTTTGATGTGCTTAGTGGTAGTAATTTTTAAATTCAAACAGAATAAAAAAAGCGAAATAATATAAAAATCATTACGAAATAAATGTATCCATAGACAAACAAACAAAAAATGGTAAATTTTATTTGATTTTCATTATCATTATTATTTAGTATGTTCCAAATACAATGAGGTGATATAGAATAAAGTATAACATTTAGATTGAAAATGTGAGAGACATGCATTTATTCAAAAAAAAAATAAAAAGAGAAAAAATGCCATTTTTTTTTGGTTTAAGTTGCATTATATTCTGTTGAGACATGCGAATGAATTTAACAGTAAATAAACAAAATGGGAAAAAATATGACATAATAGGCTATGGTTTTTTTGTTGTTTGTTTGTTTGCTTGTCTGATGTTTAAATGTTAATATTCAAAATACATAGAATTCGATTAAGTTGATCATGGATAGTCATCATAATACTATGGATGATTATGATGATAGCCAAAAAAATGTGTGTGTGTGTGTGTGTGTGTGTGTCGAATGCGATTTATAGGCTATATTTTTGTCTTTTACATTCAGATTTATGATGATGATTATGATTATAGATAATGATAATGGTGATGATCAAATATGTAAAAATTTCGTAAGCGCCATGATCAAGTCAATGATGATGATGATGATGATGATGATGATGATTGTTGCTGTTGTTCAGAGGTTGATTCAGTAGGTTGAAACATTCCAATCAATTTATTTGTACTGCCGGATGGTATTACTCGATCTGGTGTATCATCATCATCCGTTTGTCCAGAATTTGGTTCAAAAACTTTTTTCATATTATTCACCATTGATTGGCCATTCGATGCTGAACCTCGACGTCCATCACCATCAACGCCTTGTGCTTTTTTCTCAAATTTTTCTATCAAACGAGTTGTTTTCGATGGTATCATAATTTTTCCATTCATTTCATTTTCTTTGGCACGTTTTTCAAATTCTTCAATAATACGATTTGGTTGGTAGCTATTGGTCTCGATTTCAGATTCCATTTTTTATTTTATTTGCTGATGTAGACTGAAAAAAAATTGATCGTTAAGAATTTTTTTTTTCAATATTCACTTCGGTTTATCGATTGGAAATACAGCATAAATTTTCAACAAACAAATGAATCGACTTCGTAGAAATTGAACTTGCGTATATTTTTCTTAAAATTCAACCATCAGTGGTGTCATAACAAGATTTAATCAAAAAAATTTTTGTTGAATATTTTTTGTTGTTCTTCGCAGTGATATATAGACGTGATATTCAAGCTGATAGACAATCTGGTTTTCGTTAAATAAAAAGAAAATATTTTCGACAAAAAATTTTCGTTGATAGGATTTTCTGTGGAAAAAAATAGAACAAAAACAAAATATAATTCGATTATATAATTGGAAAACGAATACTAAACATAAACTAATGAAGCAATGAATTTTTGTTTCACAGTCATCATGTCAAACATCCACAAAGTCAAGAACAAATTTACTTACGTAATGTTTATGCAGGAAAAAAACCGCCCAATAATATTCGTTCCAAACAATGGATAATTTTGTTGTCGAAACTTGAGGTTTATTTTTTGTTATGTTATTCTTCTTCTTCCTGGAATTGAATATATATCATTTATATTACTATATTTATTAAAATTGATTTTTTACTGCATTTCATTAGATAAAATCACCTTGAATATTTGAAGATAATAACAATCAGATCAGGAATTTGAATAATTGATGAAGATGAAATCAAAATGAAAGAATAATATTATGTCGCAAGTTTGTATGATTCCAGTTGTTGTTTGTTATAAAATTCCAAGAAAAAAATAGGCTCAAAAAAAACGAAAAAGAAAAGCAGATCTAGATGGGTAAATAGATAAAAATACAATGAAATTAGTTGGAATATTGAAAAAATAAGGTATGTAGATGAAAAAAGTAGCAAATAAATAAAGTGATGAGATGACAATAGTACAAAATAAGGACGCAGATGTTGACATAAGATGATGATAATGATGTTTAACCAGAAATGAAAAAAAAAACGAAAAATGAAATCAAACATTGTAGAAAAAAAACTTTTTCGTTTTTTTTCTCGATTCTTCGGAAATAACATTCGCAACGGATATATCAAGAAAAACTAAGAAGAAAATCTTAAGAAAATTGAATATTTAACAAACAAAACAAATCCACGAAATGGTCATTTCAATTTTCAATGTTGGCTTCACTGCATTGTATTTTTTGTCCTGTTTTTTAAGCCTTTTTAAATAGGATTTCTGATGAAAACTTGTGTTTTTTTCTTTCATTTTTTTTTGTGAAAAAAATTATTGAAAAACATAATGCAAAGATATAAAACATGCTTTATAATCGAACAAACAAGAATTTTAAAAAATTGAATAAACACAGGTGTAAACAAAACAAAAAAAAACGTTACAGATTACGTCAACAACAAAAACGAGTGTCTATTACGAAATTAAAGGATAAAACAATATGAAAATTAAATTAAATTACAGTTAAAACAATAGAAAATGGACCGATTTTATATTGTTAATATAGTCGTAATGCATCAAGAAAACAATTTGAAAATGGAAAATGAAATTTGGCGTCAAATAAAAAATTAATAAACAAAAGAAAGAAAAAAATGCATATTGGAAAAATTCTTCTTCTTTTTTCACATTTGATATTAATGATGGATAATAAATACTTTCACGGGAATATAGAAATTTTTTTCCAAAAATATTAGTACATATTCCTGGAATCTTACCATGGTATTGAGAGAGAAAAAACTAACAAACTGCTACTGTCAATAATGGTTTGGTTTGGTTAATATCACAAAGTCTAATAGAAGTTGTTTTTTTAATATTCAAACAGATTTCTATATGCTTCATTTTATCACATTAAATTAGGTGATATCATTTGAAACAAAGTGAAAACAAAAATAGAAATACTTAGAAGAAAAAAAATTTTTTTAATATCATCTTTTTTTCCCTGTTTTCGGTTATTACTATAATGATAAAATCTTAGAAAATATTTCCTCACAACATCAACATCAACAAAAAAATTCAACTAACAAACTAAGAGAATAAAAATGCAAATTAAATATACAAAAAGGAAATGAAGAAAAAGAAAAAAAAATTCTCATCATCATTATTCAACAACATCAATGGCTCAAGGTTTATTTCCCCTATCCCCATTTTTTTATTCATTATCTTTATCATCTGATGATTATCATTATCATTATTATAATTACTTTTATGCATATAATCATCTATAGTTTTCGGCCAAAAAAATGAAAATGAAAATTCGACACCAACAACAAAGTTTTTTTTTTGGGTAGATGATATTTTTGCGCTACATTTCTTTTCATTTTTGTTGTCGTATGATATTGAAACCACACACACACACACACACACCAACATGGATATTATTAAAGAGGTTTTGTGTTTGTATTTAATGTCAAAATTAAAAGAAAATATCAATAAAAAAATAATATAATCAACACAAGTCAAATAAAAGTCATTCAAAAAATTCTTGACTTTCTTTCTTTTCATAATAAATTAAAGATGAAAAAAGTTTTTTTTTCATAAGTATTTACGCAATGCTCCAATTGGATAGTGAAAATTCTTGGTCAGATTATATATGACTATATAATCATTTCGTGTCATATTTTAAAGTCTTTTTTTCATTTGAAACCTTTCATAAAATATATGAAATTCATTATCACTTATTATCATTGTTGTTGTTGTTAGTTTCATACAATTTTGTTGATTCTTCTTCTTCATCAACAAAAATTTTGTTTTTGTTTAATTTTCTTTAGAATTTCCGGACATGAATTGCCTACAACCTTCGTTTAAAATCAAATGGTAAGAAAATCAAATGGTCTAAAAATATCATCAACAAGATAAACACGTATATGAACATATGATAGAAATAATGAATTCAGAAAAAAAAACAAAAACAAAACAAAACTGAAAATTCTTTGGAACGAATTATACAAAGTCATGTCTATGTTGTTGTTTTTCCCCCATATACAGTAATGATTATCATCATCATCATGATAATCATGGCTCAAACTGTTTCACAATCATTATTCTAAACATCATTTTCATTGTCTGTAACAATCATTATTAATAATATTGTTTATATTCTATTTGTTTATTTATTACATATGATTCATTTTTGCTTTGTATAAATGAAATATATGATTATTATTAGTTAAAATTAACGATCGAAGAAAAAAAAATTCATCTTACAACAAAAAAATAATAATGATCTTGGATGAGGGCGAGACAAAAATATTGAAAATCGAAATGTCGAAAGTGGACTTTGTCAAAATGAGCATATGGCACAGCTATAGCAAACTTACAAACATAGAAGAAATCAGTTCAAAGATATTTGGAAATTCATCAAAACCAATTGGAATTTGCGGTTTAAAAAAAGATCCAAATACTTTAAGTAACTTTAAAAAAATTGTTCGTTGAAGGTGAACACATTCCAAAAAAATGTTGAACGAAAAAACGAATTCAATTTGGATTTCATTAAAAGATTAGAAAAAAAATACAATTACAACAATTGTACTGATTGTGAAATGCTTATATTTCACAACCAATCATTAAAAGACAATTTCGTCATTTCGATTTCCGACATTCTATCCATCGCCCAATTGTTATAATCTTATTACATAAAACAAGGAAAAAAAAATCGAATTTCCATGTCTAGAAATCAATAAAATAATCATCATAATAATAATGAACAAAATCATACAAGAATCTATTCATCAATGAAACAAAAAGGTTAAATTTAAAAATCTTGTTAGCATCAAATAGGTATTAGAAAGCTTTTAGAATAATATTATTTCAAATTAACAATGAGACAAATATTCTCCAATCGAATGGAAAATTTCAAATTTGAAACAAGAAAGAATAATTGGAAAAATAATCACAAAAATCGATAAACTTGAATGTTTTTGAATAATGAGTGGTTGGAGAGAATAAAAGAAATCACACGATTTGCATACTTAATATCAATTGAACAACAACAACAACAACAAGGACATAAATGACACAAGGAAATTATAATTGAAACAAGATAGATGAATAAAATAAAAGGAAACAACAACAACAACAACGAAAAAAAAGTTGTCATTTGTCGTCACTAAGTTCAGTGTGTGTGTGTAATGTACATTTTCAAGGAACAATTTGAATATTTATTGTTTGATGGACAAGAATAAAATGAATTCTTATTCTTTTATACATTTTATTTAGCAAATCAGAATTTATTTTTATATAAGTCTATAATTATGGAATACTTTGGTGTTTCATGTCAACTTTTTTTCTGTCTTGACAGTAAAGTTATATACAAAATACATTAGAATATGAAATGATTTGATATCATACTTATATATAAAATGAAGACCACATGATTCACATAAATTTATGGAACAAAAAAAAGCCCAAAAAAATGTATCATGTATCCTTCACCATCCTATCTCATTTACAAATTCATTCATTTCACATTGTCCAAACTTTTATTGCCAATGGAAATTTTCACATAATGAATTTTTTTTTAAACAAAAACTTTTGTCTTTCTCCTCTTTTTTTAGATGATAATAAAAATGGGTGTAAATTTTTCCCCATAGAATCATCTGTTTATGATATACGATATATACAGTAAATGTACGATTAAATTATTCGTTATTATTAAAATAAGTTAGTTTGATATTGAAAATCATACTAATGGTAACCGAATGATTCTCAAAGAAATAAAAAAAAACAAATGATAGCTACAAATCGATTGTTTCAATACAATTTTTCTTTGTTTTTTTTTTTATTTCGGATGATTGAATTTCAGCTATGAAGATGAATTGTTTATCAATATTAAAAAAAAATATCGATATTAAAAAATGGAAAATTGAAATTTCACCAACTTCAAATCTTGTATATCATAATATTAGTTCTTCAACAACAACAACAACAAAATTTATGAATTTTTCCCAGGCCAAAATACTTCCGCGTAATGTTGTTTCTCTTATTCTATTGATTCATATATTCATAAGATCAATTGAACTTAAGAATATCAAAATGACATTCAAACCAAACAATATCCAAAATGATTGTGATGATAAAATCAAAAAAACAAAAAAAAAAAAAAAAAAAAAAACAAGAAGATTATGAATGGAATGTCGTTGTGAAAACACGATCGACCCAAAACGAATAAANTATCATGTATCCTTCACCATCCTATCTCATTTACAAATTCATTCATTTCACATTGTCCAAATTTTTATTGCCAATGGAAATTTTCACATAATGAATTTTTTTTTTTAACAAAAACTTTTTTCTTTCTCCTCTTTTTTTAGATGATAATAAAAATGGGTGTAAATTTTTTCCCCATAGAATCATCTGTATATATGATATACGATATATACAGTAAATGTACGATTAAATTATTCGTTATTATTAAAATAAGTCAGTTTGATATTGAAAATGAAATGAAAATCATACTAATGGTAACCGAATGATTCTCAAAGAAATGAAAAACAAATGAATGCTACAAATCGATTGTTTCAATAGAATTTTTCTTCGTTTTTTTTATTTGGATGATTGAATTTCAGCTATGAAGATGAATTGTTTATCAATATTAAAAAAAATATCGATATTAAAAAATGAAAAATTGAAATTTGCCAACTTCAAATCTTGTATATCATAATATTAGTTCTTCAAAA